GCAGGAGGGATTTACCCATCTCTCCTGCCGGCTGGATGATTTATGGTTTAGAGGAAATGTCGCTGCTCTGGGTGTGATGGTTGAAGGGATTTGATTTCATATCTGAAAAGCCAGACCGGTGACCCATCCTGCTTCCCAGATTTTCAGCTAAGCTGTTCCATCTTATGAGGATGTCAGGGGTGATTTCTGTCTCCTCCTTGGTGGATTTTGTTGGAGTCATTCTTGTGAGAGCTGGGGCTAGCCTTGGATTTCCAGAGATACACAGAGGAGAAATCCTCCAGTGACCTGGACAGTATCTTGAGAACTCTGACAAATCTCCTAGCATCTAAACAACTTTACTGTCCTTACCTTTGCCCTGTCCTTTAGTTTCCAGAAAATTCATAGGGATCTTGAGCAGAAAGGGACCTCAGTGCTCTCTGGTCCAGTCCCTTGATTTCACAGGTGTGGAACCCAAGGCCAGAGATCATACCCCTGTATGTGAGTATGTATGTACCCCTATCATACAGATGGTAAATGTCAGGGGTGGGATTTGAAACCAGCTCCTTTGATTCCAGAGCTGATGTTTCTGTTTATTTCACAGGGGACAAGTCCCCTAGAATCTAAGCTTATCGAGAGTGAGAACTGTTTCTTTGTATCTTGAATACCCCCCACAGTGCTCGGCACATAGTAGGTGTCTAATCAATGCTTGTTAAATTGAATTGAATTGAATTCACTGGGAGCAGGAAAAAGGAAGGGCCAGCTCCATCTCAGATTTCCTTTTCACTCCATTTAGGTCAATGAGAAGGTGGATGGGGCGAGTCCTTTTCTAGATGAATGCTCAAATGGGTGACCGAGGTTTCCTTTCCTTAGCTTGGGGCTTTCCTCTTGACTCATAAGAGGTTGCAGCTTTTGTGGCAGCTAAATACGGGGGGAATCTCATTTTTTCAGAGAGTACTCATCTCTTAGGATGACTATTCCCTTTGGACCATGGAGGCAGGCCAGATTTAAATTCCTTTTCAGATACCACTTTGAACTTAACCATTGGCGTATTATACAGTTAGTTCTTGGCTTATTTGCTGATAAAGCTAGGCTCGGTAACCACACTGAACCAGGGGGCCTTCTGGGAGTTTGTTCAATGTTTCCCTTTCAGTCCAACCTGTTCTTTGTCACCAAGACTTGGTTGTTCTACCATCTGGGCTATTTATTTCATCCTGGACTGTTCTTGACACCTCAGGGTAGCCAGGTTTATCAACAAGCAAGCATTGTCGGTAGATGTTGTATTTCCCTTTCCATATTAAGGGGGAGAAAATTCAGATCTCTTTTGGTGCTAAGATTCCTTGAGTAGACTTCAACCTCTGGTCCCAGGGAATCTCCTTTCTGCTTTGACAATATGTTATTTGCTTTGGAAAGTTGAACTCCTGAGGCTGAAGTTGAGGATATGAGCCTTCCTCTTTAAACTATAACTTGTTTTATGCACACACACACACACACACACACACACACACACACTTTTTTTTTGCTAGGCAATGGGGTTAAGTGACTTGCCCAGGGTCACACAACTAGTAAGTGTCAAGTATCTGAGGCTGGATTTGAACTCAGGTCCTCCTGACTCCAGGGCCAGTACTCTTATCTACTGTGCCACCTAGTTGCCCCTAAACTATAACTTGTAAAATGGAACAAACTCTAGGTCAAAGGGTTTGGGTTTGAATCTTGTCTCTGCCACTTAATACCTGTGAAAAATTGGGCAAATCACTTCAGATCACACCCATAGAGAGATAAATGGAAACTTGGCTCTAGGCCAACACCATCATTTTTTTCCGATAAGGGTGTGAAGAGACTTGCCCACAAGTAAATAAGCATAGCCAGGCTTCAATCTTAGGGCCGTTGACCCCAGATTTAGTACTGTTCTAGGGTATTGCAGTTCAGGGCTCTTGGCTTCAGTTTCCGTATCTGCAACATGAAGAGCTTTGACTTTAGATGACCTCTGTGATCCTTGCAGTACCAATTCAATTACCTTATAATTTCTCAATAAGTATTTAAAAAATTATTATTTCTGTTTGGATATGGGTATATCCAAGTCCTAGAGGATTCTCATGTGGTCCTACCCACAGCTTCCACCTTGTGGGCACCACTGGAATGACAATAGCTGCTTTTCTCTGGTGCCATAAAGCATCGTTGATTAAAACTGCAAAGGACTTGGGATTTGCAGGATTAATTCAAACATGGTATAAAGAATTCTCATTTAATAAACTATAAAAAAATTTCTTCCCCTGGGAATTTTCATAGCTTTAGAGATGGAATGAAATGAAACGACATCTTGCTTTGTGTCAGGATTCAGGATACATACATAAGCAAGCAACACGATCTCTGCCTTTAAAGAGCTTATATTCTAATAGGGAAGGACAACGTGTAGGGGAGCAAGGGTTGGGAGAGGGGCCATGGCAGAGGAGATGTGCATGGTCAGTCATATGGTGGGTCTTAGACTGAGGACAGTAAGGTGAAAACTCACCAGTGAGAGCCCTGGATAAGAGTCTGACTTCTGCTGGGCGGGGAGGAGGAATTGGAGGAGACTGGAATGGAGGTGGCATGTTCATCTAATCTACCCATTTACTTTCACAGATGAGAGAACTGAGGTCCACGGGGTTGAGAGGTGGCCTCTCTAAGATCTCTCAGTTATCAGCTGAGCTGATATTTGAATGTAGCTCTTCCAGCACCAAATCTTGAACCCAAATTCTCTGACTCCAAGTCTTGTTCCTGTGATGCTGCCACTCTTCTCTCATGAGAAAAGGGAATCAAGTTTAGATGTAGAAAAGTTTACAGACTGAGGCAGGGTATTGTAATGGCCATAGCCTAGACTTCAGAATAATGATAATGATAAATAATAATAGCTAATATATAGAACTTACTATGTGCCAGGCACTGGGCTAGGTGCTTTAGAATTAATTTCTCATTTGATCCTCACAACACCCAGGGAGGTAGATTCTGTTTTTATACTTGAGAAAACTGGGGCAGAAGGAGATTGGGTCTAGTAAGTGTCTGAGGCTGAATTTGAATTCCTGATTACAAATCTGACACTCTGTGCACTATGGCGCCACCTATCTGTCTTTAAAAGGGGAGACAAAAGCCTCTTGAGTAGCCAAAATGTTACAGTATCCATGCATTAAATTCAAGCTTTTGAATCAGAGGACGGCCTTTTGGGATAGCTTGGAGCCCAAGTGATTTTTGATTTATACATAGAATTAGCTTAGTTATCTTGTCTTTCCAGCCCACAGCGATTAGAAGTAAGGAGAGGAACTGGTGGGATAGGTATACCGACAGAGTTGAGAATTAACAGCTGGCAGCCTGACAGTGGTGGAAGAGAGAGAAGCCTGTAAAAATGAGGTCTGACTCAAAAGCCTCAGCAGCAGGGGGTCATGTCATTCATTGTGGGGAGAAAAGTCCCACATACCACAAGAGCAATGAAGAATTACTGGGCTGCAATACTTAGCCCTTCAGTAATTCTGTTGTTTATAGTAGATTCCTTCAGAAAAGGTTAAAACAATATTCTCCGTACTCTGCTTAAGAAGGCAGGGAGTTCTGTGATACATTTTAGATAGATTCTGTCCAGATTTGTTAAAATGTTTTGGGACTTAGAGGTCTAAGCTTTAATTATTTGGGGAATTCTCCTATGTGTGATAACTTGTTTATACAGGGCTTTATGATTTGCACAGTGTTTTACATATATTATTTGATGCTTCCAAAAATTCTGTGAAGTAGGTAGAGGCATGTACAATGACTAGAGTGTTAGACTGGGAATCAGGAAGACCTGAGTTCAAATTTGGGTCAGACATTTCCTAGCTATGTGACTGTGGGCTAGCCACGTAACCTCTGTCTGCCTCAGTTTCCTTAACTTACCTCACTGGATTGTTGTGTGGTTGCTAGCTGTTAAGCTATATGTTTACATATAGCTTATAATATATGTGTGTGTACATATATATACACACACATACACACACCATATAAATGTGTGTGTGTGTATATATATATATATATATACACACACACATATATATCCCAATAAATCAAATAAGCAGTTATTAAATACCTGCTATGTACCGAACACTGTGTTAGTCCTTGGAGATAAATATGCACAGAATAAAATCATCCCTATTTTTAACAAGCTTCCATTCTAACAAGGAGAGAAAAGTATACTGTATGTGTGGACAGATTAAATCTAAAGGGAATAAATGCAAATACATAGCAAACAGTGAAATACTGTAGTTAGGTAGGTGTGGTAGTTAGGGAGGGAAGGCACTAGCCTTTGGGGGAATCAGGAAAAGGCTTGGATTAGAAGGTGGTAGCTGACTTGCAACTTGAAGGAAGAAGGGGGATTTTCTGAGATGAAGGCAATGGATTCCAGGCATGGTACATTGCAAAACAGGAGGCCATAATTTGAACCCAGGTTTTCTTCACTTGAATTTCCACCACTGCACCATGCTGCTTCCCTCCCTCCTTCTTTGATGATTTTGGATACTTAAGCTGTTTCATGTCTTGTATACTTGTAAGTAATAATAGGGTTTAAAAATTCTATAATTTATACTTAAAAAAATTCATGCCCTGGTCTTCCTACTAGTTATTTTAAGATTAGTGAGGTTGAAGTATTCTTCAAGAAGATCTCAGTGAGTTACCTTAATCACTGTGATGATTTCATGGGATGTAATAATGTGTAGGTAACCCAAGGCCCTCTTTTAAATTAGCTGAATGGTGGTAACTTTAGAGATTTAGTCTACGCCCCTCATTTTATAGGTGAGAAAGTGGAGGTTCAAAGATGGTCTCAAATTCTTTATTTTTCTGCCTACCAGAAGCACTGGTTTCCCTCTTTAATGCCAAGTTGAGGTTTCTGTTGAGTTAGACTTTCGCCATTTTGAGGGCAGGGGACTCTCCGTCTTGCAAGCCTTCCTGTCTCTTACCTAGAAGAGAGGTAGTAAGCCTTTCCCTTTTCGTGCCAAAGGCCTTGGTAAATGAGTCCCTTTTATTTTTAGGTTTTGAAGGAGAACGGGTCATCGGAGATCCTTAACACACTGTATGACACCGCCATGGGGAAGCTGGAAGGGCTGAAGAAGGACTATGATGGATTGAGAAAGCGGTACAATGAGAAGGTGGCGAACCACAACACAGACCTGAGTCGGCTGGAGCAGATGGAGGAGGAGAACAGACGCCTGCAGAAACAGACAGACACACTGGTGAAGCAGAGAGACACATCCATCCACTTCCAGCAACAGTACTCCTTATCCCTAAGGCGGTAGGAGCCAGGGGGTGGCAGGAGGGCTGGAGGGCTTGGGAGGTGTTCAGGGGAAACGGGGCCTTTGACTTGAGCCCAGAGAGTCCAGGCTCTGGGAGAGTCCAGTCGGGACGACCTGGCTGGCTGCCGTAGACCAGGGCAGGCATGGGATTACTGATTGACAAGGCTGATCCTGGCTCTCACCCCGCTTCCCCTGAAATCAATAGGAATGTGATCCCATTTCATCCTCATGCCATCCTTAAGAAGAAGGACGGGGAGAAGGGATTTTTGTTTTCCATTTTCACGGATTGGGAGAATAAAGCTTAGAAACTTGAAGAGTCCTGTTCAAGATGACATAGTTAATGAGTAGGGGAGTGGGAACTAGATTCCTGACCTAGGGCTCTTTCCAATTGACCTGACCAGTGCCCTTTTTACAGATGAAGAAACTGAGGCCCTCAGTGGTTAAGTGACATGTTCAGTTTCATTCAACTAGTAAGTGTCTGAGGCAGGATTTGAACCAGGGTCACTGCTCTATCCGTAATGCCATGCTGCCTGCTCAGGTTCTATTGAAGGGGTGACAAACCCACAACCAAGTGTCATGTGGACACTTACTTCCTTTGTGGCTCTTTAAATGAGACTGAAGAAAAAAAAAGTGTGCAATTAGAATCCTCTTCATACAGTGATTAAAAAGTAGTAATACGTCCTTTGAGAAACCTATAATGGTTATTATGTGGGGACACACGAATGATCTCTAATGAACCAGCAGTAGATAAAAAAGCATTTTTCATGGCATCTCAAGTGTTTGTTTCATGGATTATGAAGGCGAAGGAAAGAGGGAGGAGTGCAGAGAAGAGTCATGAAAGATGTACAGTGCATAGAGTGCTGGGCCTGGAGTCAGAGAGCCCTGAATTCAAATGTAGCTTCGGACATTTCCTAACAGTGTGACCCTGGGCAAGTCATTTAACCTCTTATTGTCCCAGGCAACTCTCTAAGACTTCAGTTTGCAGAAAAGATGCTTATTTTCATCAATAGAGAGAGGGGGAGTTTGTCACTGGGAGTTTTCCTACACAGCTATGAACCCACCCAGCATATGAGTGAACTCCTTGTTTTAAGAATGGCTTTCTTTAAAAAGCCAATTATATATTCCCCAAAATATTTTCTTTGTACCTGTCTATTAGCCTCTCCCAAGGTACTGTATTGAGTATTGTCCACACTGGTAAAAGATATAGTCCTTTTTCTCTAGAAACTTCTATTTTAAAACCAAAGTGTTAACCTTGTGAGGGAAGGGCCATCATTGTATGGCTCTGTACCTTACAACCCTGGTTGTAAATACAACCTGCCAGGTGTGTATTTAGACATTTCAGGATGGTAAGAGAGCATGAGATAAAGGAAAGAGCCCTGATCTTGGAGTGTAAAAGTTTGCGTTCAAGACCTAGTGCGGCCACTTACTTTCTGTGTGACCTTGAACAATGAATGTAGCTTTTCTGAGCCACCATTCCCTAAAGATTCTCACCCTCTCTGCCATACTAAATGGTTGTGATAAAAAATTCTTTGTAAAACTGGAAGTGCTGGATAAACATTCAAGTCTTCATCACTTCTAGTGCCTTCTTGTCTGATCTTTCTGGGGGAGGAACAGATGGAGCTTTCTGAATGGGAGCTCAGGTCAAGTTGAGAATGGGTGGTGTGACCCTGGGCAAGTCACTTTTCTGACTCTGGGCTTCATTTCCCTTGCAAGAGGTTAGATTAAATGATTCTAAATTTCCTTCTTGCCCTGAAATTCTGTCATCTGGGTGGAACTCAGTTCTAGATTAGAAGAGGGGGTGCCGCTTTCAATTGGCTCCCGGAATTGGCAAAGGACTGAGAAGAATTTCTGTTTCAGGGGCATTGATGCTCTGTGACTTTCTGGTTGGGGAATAGGGGAATTTCATTTGAAATGTCATGCTTGGTTATTCGGTGGCTTTGGTGGGACTAAAAAAATAGAGACAGTGGCCGTCTCTCTTTGGGCTTGGCCCCATTCATTGCCTGCCTGCCTTTTTTTTCCTGTAGATTTGAGTCAATGCAGCAGGATCTCAGCAAGGCGACAGTCCAGAACAAGGAGCTTCAGCGGGAAATGGAGCGCCTCCAGTCGGAGGTGACTCGATTGAGGGCCATGCAGCTGAAGGCCCTGAAGGATGCGGAGAAGTACAAGGAGGAGCGGGACTCTGTCTTTAACGAATATCAGCTCATCATGAGCGAGCGGGACCAGGTCATCAAGGAGCTGGACAAACTTCAGACAGAACTGGAGCTGGCGGAGTCCAAGCTGAAGAACACCACCTCAGAGAAGAGGGTGGCCGGTGAAGAGATGGAGGCTCTGAGACAGGTAGACGGGCGCTTCCCCCCGGGGTGGCATGGGCTGCCTGCTGGCGTCTGAGGGAGGGAAGCCGGTACACGAGGCAAACCCAAGTGGGCGTGGACTTTAGAAGGTAGACCTTCAAGGCTTCTTTAGTTAACGTAGCTCGGGGTTTAAATTCTTTGAGTTTCTTCGGCAGATGTTTATCACAACCATTTTGTTCGGTTCTGTGTGATGGTGATGATGATGATAGCGCTTTAAAGTTTGCAAAGCGCTTTACAAATATCTCATTAGATCCTCACAACAACCCTGGGATATAGATGTTACAATTATACCTATTTTATAGATGAGGAAACTGAAGGCAGACAGAGGTTAAGTGCTTTGGCCAGAATTGCACAGCTGAGTGTCTGAGGCTGGATTTCAGGTCTTCCTGACTCTTGGTTCTGCCTTCTATCCACTGTACCTTTGCTGCCTGGGGGTGAGGGTGGTGGTCAAGAGATAGGGGAAGAGAATGAGAACTCATGAGGTCAGAGGCAGCAGGCCATAGGAGTGGAAAGAGTGTTGGACTGGGGAGTCAAGGATATCTGGGTTCAAATTCCTTCTTAGCTGTAGTTAGTTGTGTAACCATGAGCAGGTTCTTTCACCTCTAAGCCTCAGTTTTCTCATATATAAAATGGGCACGATATTGCCTGGAGCATCTGCCTGACCAGGTTGTTGGAAATGTTAAAAGAGATGACTCACCCAGTGTTCTGTAAACTTCAGTGCCCCATTATGTATGTCAGTTGTCATTATTTTCATTGGGAAGATCCAGGCATACTGTTGCATGAAGAGTTTTATGCCAGGATGAATTCAGATGATATTTTAAAATCCATACTCCACGAATATTGCCCCACCCTCAACCTCCTCTTCCCAAGTCCTGCTAACGTGGTAAAGGAGGAGGTAGAGGAGCATTAAACTTGAAAGCTAAACTCTTTCCCCTTGGAGTGTAGAGTGTTGAATGAAGGTCAGGGTAACCTGGGTGTACCCTATGGTTGCCCATAGTAACCACCACCTTGAGCATCAGGTCTCTGAGTGTGAATTCTGTCTTCTTTCTCCCTTCCCTGAAGCAGGTTTAGGCTTTTTCCAACTGAGGCTGCACCATCCAAGTTCTTTTCTGTATAGAAATGTTTGATATTGATGAGAGAAGAAACAGGAGGAAAGGGGAAGGAAGGATGGTTATATGGGACATCTTTCCCTGTAGAGGTTGACTTATTAGTCTGCCATTGGCCAGCCTCCCTGTTTCATGAGTCTGGCTATCCACCATGAAGTGCAGAAGTGACTTTGACCTACTGTGCATAAATCTGCTGTGTCCCACATTGCCTTAAGTGCTTGGCCTTTTCATGGTCTTTTGGTATTCTCCAGTGAGTGGCTGGTTGTTCTTTTTTCTTGTCTTAACTGTTCCGTGCCCATGTGTCTCTACTCTTCTGCCAGTCTGTGTGTATGTGTCTCTGGTGGTGGGTAGTGGGTAGGGGGTGGATGGTATGGAGTTCAGGCTTCCATGTAGTGGATTGCATGAGGTGAAACCAACATCAAACCAAGTGTTCATCCCATATGGTAAGTCATTGATACATATATGGCCACCATGGGGATTTCCTAATAAATAGTTAGATTTCCGTCGTAGTCTCTGAAAGGTACACCAGGGGAATGAATTTACCCATTAAGGAATAACTCTGCATGAGAGTTTAAGGTGAGGGCAGATCCTTCCCAGCCTTGGGTGACATGTGCAGAAGGGGTGGTGGTTGGGTGTGATTTCTGGAAGCTGTGCCTTTTAGCAGCCTAGGGATGTGCACAGCTCTGTCTCCACCTCTGGTCATCTGCCTCATGGTTTTATTTGACCAAGTTATTAGGGGACAAGGGGCAAGAGTTAGAATAAGAAGCATAAGTTTTTGCAGCTTGACCTTACTCCAAATCAAACCATTTTTATGCTTAGCTAGCACCTTGGATTCTAGGTTAATAGCTCCTTTAGTCTCATCAGGGTGAGGAAAAAATTCCCTTTCTTGCATCTAATTTCTCCTTTCTCAAAATCTGCCTCTCATAGAGGGGATATGATAGTTGCCTTTGTTCCCCCCAGTTTCCCCTCTGTTAAGAGAGCTATGCCAAGGTCACAGCCGGGCTTCGCAAAATGCCCTTGGAGGCTATCGGAGCAATCAGCAACTCCTTTTCCTAACCTTAATTCATGCCTCTTGGAAGCAGATCTTTGCTGTCATCAGGGGGTTGATGAGCCTAGAAGGTGGATGAGTGTGATTTTTCTCTAGCTCTGACCCCAAGGCTGCCTGCCTGTCTGCCTGTCTGCCAGCCTAGAGCTGTGTACAAGACTTTTATGGCCTTGGGAAAGGGTTGTTTTCATTTTACATCCCTCACGGACACTTGGTTGGCATTTTACTGACAGAGCACCTTTCTGCGTGTGCTGAATGACTCTAAATGGACACCTGACTTATCAGGCTGGAGGTTGTGTTCCCCCCTCCCCCCCAAGAGGAAGAAAACCATTCTGGGTTCCCTAGGGACTCTTGGAAGGCTTGGAAGGCATCACAAGAGCTTTTGTGTAAACATTTTTTATCTCTGATGAAAATAAAATATATTCTCCCATCTACCCCAGTCTTTCCAGCTGCAAATATTGGTCTGCGAGAAGGCAAAGAACAGTCTCTGTAATCTTTCTCTTTTTCTGTCCCCTTGTTTCTTTACCCCATTTCTCTTTTCTTTCTTCTCCTGACCTAGTGCACCTGGCAGGGGAGTGGCCAATAGGGAACGGGAACCCTCCTGGATTGAACAGTCTTCCATTCAGCTGAGAATTTTCATGTAGTGCCCTCCACTCCAGCCCTGCACCTTCCCTAGGCACCTTGCTTCCATAGCTGGGGCTTCTGTAATATCTTCTTTCTCTGGAATTGAGCATTAGGGTCAGGGTGATGACCTCCAGCCACGTGTTCCAGAGTTCTCTGCAGAGGAAGGTCACAGTGTGAGTTTAACCCATCAGCAGACTGGGTCCTTTCCTGGCTCACTGCACTTACTAGGAGAGGCAGTCTAATGCCAGCTCTCTGAGGGCATGGAAGGGCACCATGCCAGCATCTTCCTGTGCTTATTGGAAACAACCCCCTCAGGTTTCTGACCCCCCTCCCATATTTTGCCAGCCCCGTCATTTAGCTGGGAAATTGATTCCAGAACAATGTTGGTACCTTCTTAAGGGCAGACATGCCTGAGTTTCAGCCTATTCTCTGAAAAAGAGAACTATATGACTTTTAAGGACCAACACATGTGATTTTTCCCATAAAATAGGACATTTTAACACTTGTCCTGGCTTTCCTCTTTGGCCTCAGCAATATTGTCCATTGCCAGGTGCTCAGGCCCTGCTGGATCACCTTGACTGAGAGTTGATGCCTGAGGCTGGACCTTACCTACCTTTGGTTCTTTGGTACCAGCTTGGGCTAGCCCAATTACTACCTTCTGCCTCGGTTCCTGAGCAGAGCCTTGGGGCTTGTAATGGCCCTCTTGTAGAATGTGAACTCCCCACACAGAAAGTACCTTTTGTGTGTCCTTGGCCAGAGGGAAGGTGACAACTTTGCTTTTGTTCTCTCTCTTCAATGTGATATGTGTGCCAACGATGGGCTCTTGTTTTAGGAGCTGAACTCAGCTCTGGTGGAAAGAGATCGGGCAGTCTGTGAGAGGAATGAGTTACTGGAAAAGTACTGCTACGAGGTGAAGGACAAGGCGGAAGCTCAAAAAGAGCTTGACCAAGCTTGCAAAGATATAGAGGCAGTGAAGGAAGAAAGAGATGTGGCCAGGAAAGAGAGGACAGAAGCTATCATCCAGAGAGACCATCTACTCAGGGAATATTACCAAGCTCGCCAGGTACTGACCGCCTCTCGTAGGTGGATTTCTTCCCAACCCCCACCTTCCCTTAGGTAGCCTGGGGAGTGGACCACACTCCTACCGGGAGCCAGAAACACGCTTGGGAAATTGGGGGTGTGCCCGTGCCTGAGTTGGTGGGGGCGAGGTTCCTTGGGAAAGCCTGCTCAGCTTTCCACACCTATGTCACAGAGACCACCCACATCAGCCGAATGAGGGAGGCAAAGGGGATAGATGGATCATCACTGGGCAATCGATGACCTTTAGTAATTGGCTTTCCTAGATGAGAATAGTCAGTCAACAGACATTTATTAAGTGTTTATTATATGGCAGATGTTGTGCTCGGCGCTGAGGGTAGGAAGTTAGAATCTCAGTCCTTACCCTCAAGAGATAGTGGAGGAGACAGCATGCAAACAATTACACTCGTGTGAGTGAGGACACACATGCACATATGGCGTAAGTGGAAGGCAGTCGTGGAGGGGAAGATGCTAGCAGGGAGAGGGACTGGGAAAGGCCTCCTGCAGGAAGGAGGCTTTGAGCAGATTCTCCTTCCTTCCAGTCGTAGGTGAGGATGGAGACAGCCAGGGGAAAGTTAGGAAGGGCTTTCAAATCCAACAGTTATCCTGGAGATAATAGGGAGCCGCTAGAGTTGGAGCGCGAGAGTGACACGGTCAGATCTGTACCGTAGGAAAACTGCTTTGGCAGCTGAGTAGAGGATAGTTTGGAATGGGGAGAGACCAATCAGAGGACTATGGCATTGTCTTTAAAACACAACCCAACCACGACTGGATTGTGTGGTGCTGTAGAAAGTACACCTGGATTGGGAAGTTAAGAGACCGGGGTCCTGGTCCTGACTTTGTCACTGACTAGTTAATGTTACTTTGGGTTTTTCACATCTAAGCCTCAGTTTTCTCATCTGTAAAATGGAAGAGGTGATACTTAATCCCTTTTACCTCACCAAAAAAACCAAACAAAAGTAATGGAAGAGATTGGATTGAGGTTCCTCTAAGCTCCGAAATTCTGCAATCTCTTTTTCAGTTCCCCAGTTCCTCCTCTCTTCGCAATAATTATAGTAATTTGGGCATCTTTTTTAAGATAGACAGGCCTTTTGGTGGGGGAGGTCAACTAATTTTACCTCCTTCCATCCCTCTCCTCCAAAATGGCAGTGACCATGTTATTAGGAAGGGCTTAGTCTACAGCCACTGGGCTGACCCTAGTATAATCTTGTGCTATCTTATTCTGTGTTTGAGAGTGTCAGGGAGGAGAGAGAGAGGGGGGGAAAAGTACAAGAAGAAAAATAAGGTATTCTCTTCTCCAGTGAAGAGCTGAGCTTCAGAAGCTCCCCCTTGGGTTGGATTAGCACCCGAGTCTGCTGATGTTGATCGGGTAGGAAGCCTCCTCCCTTGTTCCCCCACACTTTGCTTAATGCTCCAAGGCTCTGCCTCTGTTGAATGTGGTCTCGCTCCACGTTTTATGCCATGTGCTTTTTGTGCTTCAGGGCCAGGTTCTCTGTCCCTGTGCCTTTGGTGGGATTCTGTGTAGGCTGTCAAGACTGTCTTTTGGTGTCTGCTTTGCTACTCTGGGGAGAAAAAGGAGGTTTGGGGTGAAAGAGGAAATTCTGTATATGTCAGATCTTGCCTTTGGGGAACAAACTGAATTTGTATTTCCAATTTCTGATTCTCAGTTACCAGAAAGAACATCAGGGAGTAGGGGAGGGGAGAAAAGTATGCTGACCCATTCTGCTTCTACAGGAAATTGCTTTTTCTGTCAGTCAGATGTTTGAATAAATATTTCATTGGTTGATTGGAAAAATCTCCTGCAGGTCTTTCAGAAGCGTAGTGAGCTAGAACATTTCTTCCCTCTGTTTTCTCTGGGTAACTGGGTGATGGGGGGAGTTGGAAGCCCAAATAGACAGATGGCAAATCTTTCATTTTCACACTGTTGTTTGACTCTTGGAGGAGGTTCAATGCCTATAGCCTTCCTGGCTATAGGGTATGGTGTTCATTTGGCTGGGGTCTGGTTTTCAGCACCCTTTTAGAGAACGCCAGGCTGCCCTCCACAAGATAAGCTAGCTCATGTGGAAGATGAGTGCTTTTGACATGCCTCCTGGTTTATGGATATGAAGGATCTATGATCCTTTGAGATAATCCCAGCTATTCCTTTGTCACCCTGAGGCATGAGTTTCCAGAGTTTAGTGGGGACAAGTCCGGGCTTTATTATAGCATTAAGGCAGATGAGTAGTTTATTTTAACACTCAAATTAAAAACTGACTTTGTTGACGTGTACAAAGTGAAATTAATAGAATATTATAATCATCTTTTGAATTGAAAGGAACCTTAGTGGTCATTGAGTCCGATTAGAACTAGAATTGGTAAGGGGGTGGGAGTTACACACCTTATTTTTCCCTCGTTAATTTGAATTGTGTGACTTTTGGGTCATAAACTGATTTTAAAATTCCCGAGGTCAGGAGTTTTGGGGATTTTGAGGGGGAGTACTTTTTAACTCAGTATTGTTTCTGTTGTAAAATTGAATGGTGAAGGATAGCCATCATGGTACCACTAAGAGTTTCTTTTCTTGCTTCACAAGAGATACCCAGTTTTTGAAAAGCGACCTCTTGGCAACAGTCAGTCGGTCAGTCAAGAAGCTTTTACTAAGTGATTGCTGTGTGCCAAGCCCTTTGCTAAACAATGGAGATGCAAAAAAGGGTAAAAATGGCCCTGCCCTCAAGGAGCTCCTATTCTGATGGGAGAGACAAGCTTGAAAATAACCAGGTATATATGAAATACAGACAGCGTAGATGGAAGGTGACTCTTGAGTAAAGGCGAAGCAGCTGGGAGGAGGGGAAGGAGGGAGGATTGGAAAAGGGCTGAGTCTCGAAGGAAGCCAGGGAAACAAACAAACAAACAAACAAAAATAACGTGTTGCTGGAGTGGATGCTCTTACTTTTGATTTTTCCATCATTCATTCCCCGTCTTCTCTGGTGCCTGAGCTTACTTGGATTGGGCATTTCCCCCCATGGATACATTGGCAAGCCTAACCAGGTCCCAGTAGCTAGGATATGATGTGCTGAAACACCTTCTAGATTAGTATATTGGTTCCCCTTCCCTCAGGGGCTGGCGGTTTATGTGTGTGGCCAATGCCACATTTTTAGTAAAATCATGACATAATAAACCCAAACTGAGGGGGCTAGCTAATAACTTGGGTAATAGAGACAGGATTCAAAAAGATCTTGACAGGCTAGAACATTGGGCCAATTCCAGTCAGATGAAATTCAGTAGTGATAAATGCAAAATCTTTCACTTGGGTTCAAAAAATCAACTTTCCAAGTATAGTATGTAGAAGGCATAGATTAGACAGTAGTCTATCTGAAAAAGATAGGACAGTTTTAGTATATAATTCAGCTGTGTGACATAGCGGCCAAAAAAATTGCTGTAACCTTGGGCTGAATTAAAAAGGGCTTCCCTTCCAGGACTAAGGAGGTAATAGTCCCTTTGTACTCTGTACTCTTCAGACTGCACCTGGAATATTATGTTTGGTTCTGGGCACCATAGTTTAAAAAGGACATTGATTAAACTGGACAATGCTCAGAAGAGGGCATCTAGGATAATGCATAGTACTTGGCACATTAGTAAGCACCTAATAAGTGGTTGTTGCTGCTGCAGCTGCTGAATAATCTTGAGTCTGTGTTATATATGGACTGGCTGAAGGAAATGGAGAAATTTAGGCTATAGAAGTGAAGGTTCATGGGAGACATGATTTCTGTGCTCATGTATCTGAAGGGCTGTCATGTGGGAAAGAATGGATTTGTTTTGTTTGGCCCTAGAGACCAGAACCAGGGCTAAGGGTAGACCTATCAGGGGCAAAATTAGGCTTGATAGTAGAAAACAACAACAACAACAAGCTAATTTTTATTCATTGGTGTTGAAGAGTGGAGTAGAATGCCTCAGGAGGTAGTGGGTTCCCCTTCTTAGAAGTCTTGGAGTGGAGACTGCACACCTATTTAACTTGCGTGTTACTGTGGGAGTAGGAATTCCTTTTGGGTGTGGGCTGGCTTAGGGGGCAGCTGACTTCCCTTCCAGATTTGTGATTCTGTGGTAAAATTGAGTACAAGATAGAATTCTTGGGGAGCCAACAGGCTTCAGGGGTAGGCAGATGCTTCTGCTGAAGGATGGTCCCAATAGACATCTGGGGTTCTGCCCAGGTTGGGAACAGAGACATTGTCAGGCTCCATTCTATCAGAGTTTAAACCATGACAGATGGATATGTAGCATTGGAATGGAGGGGGCAGGTTGGGTTAGGGTGGAATGTGGTGGGGATTGGTCAGAGCCTTGGTGTCCTGTCTTTGAGCAGATTCAGAGAGCCTTAGTTAGGGTCCAAGAGAGGGCAACTTAAAACTACTATGCTGAGATGTATCCATAAACTCTTCAATCTGTCTGACCTCATAGATACAGGATTCGGCAACCCTGGACATCGAGAGAGCCAACAAAGAGATCGAAATGCTCCGGAAGCAGTACGAGGCCATGTCCCAGGAGCTCAAAGAAGCCATCCAGGAGGCGGAAGTGGCAAAATGTAGGCGAGATTGGGCCTTCCAGGAGCGAGACAAGATTGTGGCAGAGAGGGAGAGCATACGGTAACTTGACACTCCGAGGTCTCGGTGGTGAGAGGCTCTCTCTTGGGTATTGGACACTCCTCTAAAATTTCCCACACAACCCATCTCGTACGCCCTTTAATCAATGAGTAAAGATTTGTATGAGGCATTCGGCTAGGTGCCGTACTCAGTGCATCAAATCACATTTACCCAGTGCTTTCCCCAAATAATCTATGTTGTCTTGTATTTTTGTTCGTATTCCGAACTGCATTTTCATCTGGTTCACTTGGGAGTCTTGAGGGCTTGGGGGCTGTTTGGCTCATGAATTTGACTGATCTAGGCTAACCCTGTCCTTTGACCTGGAGAAAACTGCAATCCAGGGACAAGAAGGGCACTCGGGGCTGTGCAGTAAGTGGGTGGATTGGAACCCAAGTGTTTCTTTTCTTAGTCTGCTGGAGTGACAAGTAACTTGTCAATTAGAACTGTAGTTCCAGGAACATTACTTAGCTGCTCTGCAACCTTGGCCGGTCATCTTCTCTTCATCTGCAAAATGGAGACAGTAATGGCTGCACCACCCCATCTGTCTATTTCCTAGCAATGTTATGAGCATCAAATGAGATAAAAAGTGTTAATACATGGGGCAGCTAGGTGGCGCAGTGGATAGAGCACCGGCCCTGGATTCAGGAGGACCCGAGTTCAAATGTGGCCTCAGACACTAACACTTACTAGCTGTGTGACCCTGGGCAAGTCACTTAACGCCATTGCCTAACCCCCCCCCCCCCAAATATGTTAATGCACTTGGAAAATTCTAAAGAACTCTACATACATGGGGTGTTTTGTATTTGTTTGAGTTGTATCTCTGCCTCATGTTACCTTGGAGAAGTCCCTTCTCTGAGCTTTCTGTGAGGCAGTATGGAGTAGTAGGCAGGATGCTGGACTTGCAATAAGGAAGGACCTGGTTTTGAATCTAGTTTCATTTATCTGCCAGCTGTGTGACCCTGGGAAAGTTACCAAACCTCTTCCTCACCTCATTTTTCTTTTCTGTAAAATGGGGATAGAGTGGTATTTACCTTGTAGAATTTAAAATTTTTTTTGAATTTTTTTATTAATAAAAATTGTTTTCTTTTCCTCCCCCCTTCTCCCCTTTCCCTTTTCCTCTGCCTTCCCCAGTTGAAAAAAAAGAAAAGAAAACCAAAACCCTTGTAATAAATGTGGAGAGTCAAACAAAAGAAATTCCCACATTGGGCATCTCATTCTTTACTTTCAGTCTGTCACCTTTTTGTCAGGAGGTAGATAGCATGCTTTGTTGGTCCTCCAGGATTGTACTTTGGAGGTTTTTTATGAGGTTTGAATGGCATAATTTATATGAAATAATTATAAATATTACAGTGCTAAATAGATGCCAGTTATTAATTACCATTGTTCTTCATCTTGAAAATGGGGAAAATAATGTTTATGCTCCTTTCTTCACCGGGTGGTTGTAAATGTGCAACAAGATAATGTGCAGAAATTATTTTGTCCACAAGCCAGTTGCATGTAAACATTATGTGTTACTACTCCTTGAAAGGGGCAGCTTGTAGCTGGCAGTTATGAGGACATCTTTAAGTGTGAATATACTTGTGGCTTTTAGCCAGAATGAAGGACTGGGTCTCTGCTTATGTTGACCCGCCTTGCTGATTCACAAGCTGGTGATGTTCTTTTAATGACTGATGGTTAATTTAGAAGAGAGTGGTGCTTATTCATGTCTTCTCTCTTCTGGTCCCTGCCCTGCCCTGCCCAAAGCATAAAGACTCTGGTGGGGGCCTGGCAGGACATTCTCTCCTTAGCCCTTGTCCTCACTGAGCAGTTTCATACGTTATTGCTTCTATGCTTCTCTTATTCCGCTTACCACGATGTGATCCTGCCTTAGCCCATTTCCATCTTATAAAGAAACTGTTAACTCTTCTTACAAAGTCATCGAAATAATGGGAAAGTGTATTTGTCTTTTTTAGCTCTCTCTTGCAACTCCTAGACCTTAGATGCATTATTACAAAGGCCTTCTGCAGGCAATAAATAATTTGGGGAGGGTAATTTTGGAGGTGAGTGGCAGTGTGATCTAATAGATGGCCAAATTTTGTTCAAAGACATGGGTTCAAAACCCAGACGCTTAGAAACTGTGGCATGATGGGTGAGATAGATCCTTAGAATTACTTAAATTTGCATTTCTAATTATTGGTGATATGAAACTTTTTTTTTGGTGCCCATTGATATGTTGAATTTCTTTATTTGAAAACTGCCTGTTAATACCCTTTGATCATTTATGAATTGGGAAATGGCTCTTATTCTTTTAAATTGGAATAAGTTCCATATAGGTCGTGGAAATGAGACTTTTATCAGAGAAGCAACCCACAAATGTTTTTTCCCCAGTTAATTGATTTCATTTCTACTTTCAGCTATATTTGTTTTGTTTTTAAAGATTTTGCAAAACCCTTTTAATTTATGTAATCAAAATTGTCCATTTTATCCTCCATAATTCTTTCTATCCCATGTTTGGCCACGATCCTCTTCCCCTATCCAAAGAACTGACAGGTAATTTCTTTTTTGCTCCTCAAACTTGTTTATGATGTGATCTTACCTGTGTATCCATTTAGATTGATGATGTGATGGACTCAGGATACAGAATGAGACATTTGCTTTTTGACCTGACCAATGCAGGAATTTGTTTTACTTGACTACTTATATTTGTTCTAAGAGTTTTGTCTTTTTTTTTTTTCATGTTGGGGAGGAGGAAAAGAAAGTAAATAGTTGTTAACTGAAAATTTTTTTCCAAGTTACTTTGTTAGAATATTCCAAGATAAGGGGATCTTCTCCTTTAAAAATATCATCTTGCCCAGAGGTATATAATTCCATTAATCAGTTGACTTACAAGCATTCATTATATTCCTTTTGTGTGCCAGGCACTGTGATCGTCTCTGGGAACACAAAACCAAAAATGAAAGAGCCCCTGCCTTCAAGGAGTTTCTATTCTATCCTATTACATTCTAGCGCCCAGTGGGCTGGGAGAGGAGAGGCTGTTTTTTGTCCCCCGAGTTTACCTTCTCTTTTCCCTGTTCTTACTCTCTTCCTCCAGGACCTTGTGTGACAACCTACGGCGTGAGAGGGACCGAGCAGTGAGTGACCTGGCCGAAGCCTTGCGCAACCTGGATGATATGAGGAAACAGAAGAACGATGCTGGCAGAGAGCTTAAGGAGCTGAAGTACGTGGGCGTGCCTTCCCAGTATCCCTGAGGCCTTTGGGCTCTCACTGAGGCCTGGGCGTTACTCTATTTAACCAGAGATCTAGAGGGCTAGATTTCCAGGCCCTTCCTGGCTTGGCCTCTGCTCTCAGGAAGGTCCGTTTCACTTTCCCTTTTCCCTTTAATCCACAGGGCGTGTGGAAATACTGGATTTCCACTCTTTCTCCTTTTGATACTGGGGGTCAGTTTGAGAGGCAGCTTAGAATAGTGGATAGCACACTGGACTTGGGGCTTGGAAAGACATGGGTTAAATCCCACCGGAGTCACTTAACATGCGAGTCTTGGTTTTTCAGCTGCAAAACTGGCTAATAATAGTACCTGTATCACAAGATTGTTGGAAATAATGTAAATAATGAAATAATGTAAAATGCTTTTTTCCAGATCTTAACACATTATATAAATATCTTCTCCTCTGCTTCTCTTCTTCTCTTCCTTAACTCTTCTTTCTCCTCTGAGGGCCTTGAACACTTCAGAAAAGAGTTGCTAATGTTTTGGCCAATGTATTATTTGAGATTTCTCTAACTGTGACTGTCAAAAGAGGTGCCTGGTCTAGTGGGTAGAGAGCTAGGCTAGTATTAGAGTCAGGATGCCTTGGGATCTGTCTATAACTCAGTGACAGAGTGACCCTGGGCAAGTCATTGAACCTCTTAGCGCCCCAATGTCTCTTTCTTCCCTCTACCAGAGAACCATCCCTTATAACAAAGAATATTTTTTAAAGAAAAAAGAAAAAGAGGAAGAAGAGAAAAAAAAACCCCAGCAAAACTAATTAATACATTTTAAAAAGTCTGAAAATATATGCAATATTCCATACTTGGGGGCATTCCTCTTCTGTGAAGGGGGAAGGGCACGTGTCTTCTCACATTTCTTCTTATGTATAATCTTTGTAATTTTGCAATGTTTGTTTTCTGTTTGTTTTTGTTTTTTTGTGGTGCTTTTCATTTACCTTGTTGTAGTTGCTGCATGTATTGTTTTATTGGTTCTCCTTCCTTCACTCTGTATCACTTGGTAAATCTTCCTGTGCTTCTCTGTAGTCAGATTTGTCTTTTCTTAGAGCACAGTAATAAATCCATCACCTTCACGTACGGTAATTTGTTTAGCCGTTTCCCCATTGATGGGTGTCTTTTTTCAATTTCTTTGCTACTATGAACAACTGTTGGACGTATGTGGAGGCTTCCTTTTTGCCTTTTAGTTTTAATGGATGATTTTAGGCTTTCGAGATGCCATGGGAGAACCTTGCCATGATTTGGCAGTATAGGAGGCAGGAAGATTACACTGCTTCCTAGAAATTCAGCTCTAAAACTCTCTCTTTCCACAGGGAAAAGATGGAGAACCAGCTGGAAAAGGAAGCGCGTTTCCGGCAGCTGATGGCTCATAGTTCCCATGATTCAGCCATCGACACGGATTCTATGGAGTGGGAAACGGAAATAGTGGAGTTTGAAAAGGACAGAGTAAGTTGGCTTTAACTTTCTTCTTCCCAGAAGGAGTCATCTAGGTGGTGTAGTGGATAAAATGTTGGGCTTGCAGTCAGGAAGACCTGAGTTCAAATCCAGCCTCAGGCACTTACTAGTTGTGGGATCCTGGTCAAGTTACTTAACCTCTGTTGGCCTCAGTTTCTTCAACTGTAAAATGGAAGTAATAGCAGCACCTACCTCCTGGGTTTGTGGTGAGGATCAAATGAAATGTTTGTAAAATGCTTCACGTATAATAGGCGCTATGTACAAATGCTTGTTCCTTTTCCCTGTGCTTCCAACAGGTTTGTGGTCTAGGTTAGAGGCATCTGGAAGCATCCTGGCAAGGAGATGTATCTAAGTCTTTGGCAGTCATTTGGGTTAGACATTCAGTTTTTCTTCATGTAATTTATATTTTCCTTGGGGATTGGAGGGAGTAAATTCAGGTTTTCTTTATTATTAGGGATAAGGATAATGGACTGTACTTGTGATTTCATTGATATACAGAATTTTGAGGGGAGGAAATTCCCTCTTGCAATATAGGTCAGCCCCTTCTTTGCCACTTGCAGTTGTAGAGAGTTACTTAGAGCAGAGTGGGTTCCCTGCTGCCCACATTTTGACTTAGAAAACCACACATTATCTGTGTTGTATTGTATTTTTACTTAGCTTGTTAAATATTTCTCTCTTTTTTTTCTGCTTTTTGGTAAGACAGTTGGGGTTAAGTGAGTCGCCCAGAGTTATACAGCTAGTAAGTGTTAAGTGTCTGAGGCTAGTTTTGAACTCAGGTCCTCCTGACTCCAAGACTAGAGCTCTATCTTCTATGCCACCTAGCTCCCCATCTCTATTACATTTTAATCTGGTACCCACTCTAGTTTGGAGCACTTAAGTGATTCAGTGACTTCCCCAAAGTCATATAGGACTCAAACTCTGGTCTTCCTGGTTTTGAGGCTGGCTCTCCTTCCACTATACCATGAATTCTTCTTTACTGTGGTCTGTAGCAAAAGCTTGTGCTGTCCTCCTGAGTGTTTCACAACTTCTGACATCTGTTGCTGAAGGCATCACAAAAGAGGGCAGGTTGGAACAAATGTTAATAAATGAAATGATTGGACCATAAGAACATGTGGATAAAATGTATGAGAGAGACAAAATTTTTGCCAAGTTTAAAAAAAAAAAAGATTAAGAACTCGGTCAAGCCATCAAAAGGGTTGTAGCCAAGTAATCCTGGTAAAGTGTCCACTGGGTCCTCCTACTTTGCCTTCCCCATTTAAGCCGCGGTCCTTGAGTAAATAAAAGAGTTCTTTGTGGTCACCTTTTGTACAAACAGCTAGCTCCGTCATGTTGAAGAGAGATAGAGAGCCTCTATTATGCTGTGTGGTCAAATGAATTAGAGTTATATGCTCGTAGCCTTAGAGCTGGAAGAGACCTGAGGTCATGTAGTTCATTTTTGTAGATGAGGCAGTTGAGACCCAGAGTTATTAAATGACTCTCAAGTTCCCACAGATAATATGCAGAACTTACATTGGAACCAGTGGTGACTTTGAATCCAGAGCTCTCTCTAGTGTCCAGCGCTACCTCCCTTCTCCCAATTAATGGTCTGGAAAACTGTGACTTACAGCAGCCTTGTTGAGTGGCAGGCACTGGGGATGGCTTTGCAAGGTCAGATATGAACAGGAGAGGGAGGAGGAGGAGTGCCCACTAAGCATGTGGGTTTGTGTTGGTGCAAACTTGCACTTTCTGAAACTGGTTTCTCCTGGCTGCTCCATTTATCATGCTCTATTGCTGTTTCCCATAGGAGGATATGGATTTGAAGGCACTTGGATTTGATGTGGCAGAAGGTGTGAATGAACCCTATCTCCCTGGGGATTGTGGCATTTTTGTCACTAAAGTAGATAAGGGAAGCATTGCAGATGGTCGATTAAGGTAACGGGGGAATGGGTTGGTCTGTGGTTTTTTGGGGGTGTAAGGACATGAGGCAGGCATGGCGGAGAGAAGGCCGGGAGTAGAAACACTAAAATCTTTGCCAAACTCTAGATTCCTATCTTCAATTTGAGTCCATGCTGAACCAAAGATGTACAAAAATAAATCTTAGGACCTTAGTGACTTCTAGAAGTCTGTTTCTTCCTCTTTCTGTCCTATTCTCCTTTCTCATTAAAGATGCAAAATCATCATTTTTTTCTTAAGGAGGTACATGGTTTCCATTACCTTCCTGTCAAATGGCACCCACCTTCCTCTCTCTGCTTCTCCTACCCATTTTTCTGGCAGACACTAGGTGGGCTAACTGTCTGACTGTCTCTTTTCCAGTAGAGAGTAGGAGGGCATTGTTCACACTAGAATACTTAGGAGATGTATACTTCTTTCATAGAGGTTAAAATCTGCCTGAACTGGGGGGAGGAGATGAATGGGGGTGGGGCGGAGGGAAATCTGCTTCCCAGGCCTCAGTTGGTGATGACTTAATGTTGCCCCTTGCCAGAGTGAATGATTGGCTGCTCAGAATCAATGATGTGGACCTTACCAACAAGGACAAGAAGCAGGTGGTCAAGGCTGTTCTCAGTGGTGGAGGGGTCATTAACATGGTGGTCCGGAGAAGGAAGTCCCTGGGAGGGAAGGTGATAACACCACTCCACATTAACCTGGCTGGACACAAAGGTAACAGGATAGGGGCTTTAGGAGCCACAGGATACTGGGGCTGACATGTCATATTGGAGACATGAGAGGGCTCTCTACATACACTAAGAACCACTTGACTTATTGAGAGCATAGAACCATTGACTGTCAGAATTAGAACATGTCATAGAGACTGTCTGGTTCAGGGGTTCTTAACTTGGGGTCTGTGGCCTTGTTTGTTTTATGATTTTCAATTAAAATATTTTGAAAAGCTGTTTTCAGTATAATTGATCCCCTCTATAATTTTATGCATATAAAAACATTATTCTGAGGAGTCCATTGACTTGCCCATACAGACAAATTCAACAAAAAGTTAAGACCCTTGGATTAGTCCAGTCTCCATCATTTTATCTTTAAATGACTTGTTGAAGGTAACACACTTAAGAGAGTCGTTTCACCTAGTGAGTTTCTAACATTCATTTACAGATCAGTAAACACAGTTTATTGCCTCATGCTTCCGATTAAGGGATAAGATTTTTAATTTTTTTGGTGGGGAAGTAAGGGTTGCCCAGTAACCTTCCACTTTATTGCAGGTAGGCTCTGGAGGTTTGGACATGAGTAAACTTAATCATCTGGCAGTTTAATTCAGCAGGCAGGCAGACAGCAGTCATTTATTGAATGCTTACTATGTGCCATGTACTGTGCTAAGTGCTGGAGATGCAAATACAAACATAAAAGACAGGAGCTTATGTCCTAATAAGGGAAAACAATAGATTAGGGGTGTGGGCGGGGTGGAGGTAGAGGTACAGCCAGAAGCACAGCTGAGAGCAGAGTGAAGCTTGATATTCCCAGAGCCTTGTTCAGAGCCTGGCACACAGTAAACACTCAATCAGTCCTTGTTAGTTGATTGAGAGAAAGAGTAGTTATGGTAGAGTTGAACTAAAAGGATAACTGTTCACACATTGAATTGTAGTTAGAGAGCATTACTTTGTAGCAGACCCAATTCAGCACATCTATGGGACTTCCTTCATTCAGCTGCCCTTAGCACCTTGAGTAGGAACAGAGAAGCTAGATGTATATGGTAGGGGTTATATAGGGTTGGGGATTCAAAGTGTAGAAGCAGTGGTGGTAGCAGGAGGAGGGGGTGCAAAGAAGTGAGAAGTTTAAAGGTAGAAGAGACAACTGAGTTGAATTACCCACCATAAGCTTAAGGCTGTGGAGGGAGGAAAGTAAAACTACAGCAGAAGTGATGGAATGAAGGAATGAGGATTTGGGGTGGTGATCAAGGAATTGGAAATAAAGATGGAGACAGTGAGTAGATACAAGAGTGAGATTCTTGGAGCAGGGGTGGGGAAGGATAGGAGATTATGGTCAAAGTTGGAGATTTTCCATTTCAGGATGCTGGTGGTAAAGCTTGACCATCTTTGGATAGCTAAAGTGGAATGGTCAGGGTGGTTCTAGAAGGGTGGGGTCATCAAGCAACCAAAGATTTATATTAGGGGGGAATGAAAGACTGTTATCCAGGTACTGATATCCATTGAGGAAGGTAGAAAAGTCTCTTAGAGGTGGGTATAATATAGGGGTAAGGGTTAGGAGACAGTGATATTAACAGAATGGCATGAGTTTTAAATTTTTCTCCCCATCCCTTCCTACCTCCTTCCCCAAGACAGCATCCAGTCTGATATAGGCTATACATATACATTGCCATTAAACATATTTTCACATTAGTCATGTTGTAAGGAAGAATTAGAACCAAAGGAGGAACCACCAGAAAGAGGAAACAAAACAAAATAGAAGAAAAAAAAAAAGAACAAATAGTATGCTTCGATCTGCATTCAAACTCCGTAGTTCTTTCCTTGGATGTGGATAGCATTTTCCATCATGAGACCTTTGGAGATGTCTTAGATCCTTGCATTGCTGATAAGGGCTAAGTCTATCAACGTTAGTCATCACACAACGTGGCTATTACTGTGTACAACATTCTCTTCACTTCACTCATCATCAGTCCATACAAGTCTTTCCAGGTTTTTCTGAAATCCACCTGCTCATCATTTCTTATGGCACAATAGTATTCCGTTACATTCATATACTACAACTTGTTCAGCCATTCCCCAATTGATGGACATTCCCTCAATTTCCAATTCTTTGCCACCACAAAAAGAACTGCTATAAATATTTTTGTACATGTGGGTCCTTTTCCCATTTGTATAATCTCTTTGGGATATAGCCCTAGAAGTGCTATTGTTGGGTCAAAGGATATGTACATTTTGATACCCCTTTGGGCATAGTTCCAAATTGCTCTCCAAAGTGGTTGGATCATTTCACAACTCCACCAGCAATGCATTAGTGTTCCAATTTTCCCACATCTTCTCCAACATTTATCATTTTCCTGTTTTGTCATGTTGGCCAATCTGATAGGTATGATGTGGTACCTCAGAGTTGTTTTGATTTGCATTTCTCTAATCAGTAGTGATTTAGAGCATTTTTTCATATGACTGTAGATGGCTTTAATTTCTTCATGTGAGAACTGCCTGTCCATAAGCTTCGACCATTTATCAATTGGGGAATGACTGGAATCAAGGTTTTTGAGTGATAGTAGAAAAACCAAAGATCTGGAAATGGCAAAACAGAACACTGATCCTAGAGTAACAGAATTAGAAGAGACCTTTGAGGCCCTGTCTTTCAACCTGACCCTGCCAATGTGAATGTTGACTCCTTTTCCTGGCCCTTTGTATTGTGGGGGAAGCTCAGGAATTGCGAGAAGGAGCCATCCTCATTGGAGAGGAAGGCAAAGGTTGTGGTGTCCTCCGGGCAAAGTCAGGTTTCAGTTATTGCCAGGAGGTAGAAGGAAGGAAGAGATTGAAAAAGTTTGACAGTAAAGTGTGGGGATTTGGAAAAGGCAGGAATAAGCTAGATAAGAGACAGAAAGCTAGGAAAGTGAGAATGAACCCGTGCAGGTTCTAGAGGACAGACATTAGGAATGCCAGAGTTAAAAGGTGGCAAGCTGCATGAGTAGAGGTATTTTTCTCACCCAGGAGTTTCCAGTACCCATGAAACAACAGGCCTAGTCTCTGTCCCCATCCTTGTCCCTTCTGGCCATTATATTTTATAATCTTAAAATAATTTCCAAAAGACTACTGCCTGAAGTCATAAACTTGAGTTACCTGACATTTTCAATTAACTGGAACACCTCAGGCCTTGATGATGTTTTATTTAACTTGACTAAATTGAGATTTGGTGAGTGTGTGCTTGAGTCTTGCTTATTTTCTCTTTTGAGTATCCCTTTTCCCTATTAAAAGATTGAAGAAAGAAAAGTCAGTGGAGGGGGGAGGGGATGTCAGGCAAAGGTTGGAATTAGGACTGTGTGCATTCTAGTTCTATTCTGTGGATTCCAGAGAGTGGCATCAGCCTGGAGAACGGTGTGTTTGCTGCCGCTCTTGTTCCTGGAAGCCCTGCTGCTAAAGAAGGGTCCCTTACAGTGGGAGACAGGATTATTGCCGTAAGTCAAATGCAGAAAGCCTGAGGGGGGTGTCTGCCGAAATGGACGATGTAATCCCATCTGGGAAAAGAAAAACAACCCAATGGCTAGGAACCCATGCACCTTGAATATACTTACTGTTCTCTGCTAACCCCTCACATATAAAGAAATAAGGATTAGAACAGCTTATCTCTGTAAGAATAAGCTGCCAGGGACATGAAATTTAGACTACACTCGGCCCACTGGATAGAATTCTTGGTTTCCTAATTACGGAGGGGTCTGCTATATTACAGTTCCTGGGAGGGAATAGTATGGCTGTAATGATAAATGTGAATCCTTGTCTACCTATATGTGAGTTTTCCTACCTGGGTATAAGTCATCTACCTATATGTATGTCATGTCCCTTGGGGACTGTCCATGGTTCTGTACCAAGACCATGTCCTTGGGCTGCTTTCAGTCTAAAACAGGGTAGAGGATACCTTCACACCATCTGGTTTAACTGAGTGACTTAATAGCTCTGTGCTTGCCTCTGGTCAGCGTAGGGCATTTCAGAGGATTCTCTTGTGGCCAATCCTGTCTCATTTCTCCTTCTCCAGATTAATGGCATTGCACTAGATAACAAATCTCTGACTGAATGTGAATCCCTACTCCGGAACTGCCGGGATTCCTTGACCCTCTCGCTAATGAAGGTAAAGAGCTATAAATGCAGGCTTCTCTTCTGGGTGTATGGGCAGAGGCAGAAGGTTACTCTGTGAGGCCAAAACAGGGATTGAACTTCACTTTGCATGTGTCTACAAGCACTACTGCCTTTTAAAATCTCTTTCATTTTTCTTCTCTCATTTATTCATTCAACAAACATTTCTTTTTTTAATAGCATTTTATTTTTTTCAATTAGGTATGAAAACAAATTTAATATTTGTTAAGAAAAAATTTTTGAGTTCCAAATTTTCTCCCTCCCTCTCTCACCTAAGCAATGGTAAGCAATTTGATATAGGTTATATATGTTCAGTCATGTAAAACATTTGCATATTAGTCATTTAACAAATATTTCTTGAGTCCCCACATTGTTACCTTCCTAGTTTGGGACCTCGTTACTTCTCATTTGGAGTATTTTAATCATTTCCTAGTCACTTTTCCAATGCATAGGTTTGATGACACCTCTCTTGCTCAAAAAACCTTCAACTGCTCCCTATTACTCCTCATCTTGACATTTCAGTACCTTCCCAGTCTGCATTTGTCCTTTCTCTCTAGCTTTAAATAGTTTAGCAAATGCATTTGCACAGATTGTCCTATGCCTGGAATGCATTCCTTCTCTGTCTCCTCCACCCTGGTCCACCTTAGCAGTCACCTCCTCTGTGAAGTCTTCATTGATCTCGCCAGGATAAAGTGTCCTTGATACCTTGTCTCAATCTCTCTCTCTTTTTTTTTTTTAACCCCATCTCACTGTACCTGGTATATTTACCTATATCTATAGGTACTGTCAAAAAGAGAATACTTTTTTTGTATTTTTCCCCTTCTCCCTACCAGTCTGTAAGCTATTTAGGAATAGGGACTGTACAATTTCTTTTCTGAGTGCCTAGCCTGGAGCCTTGCATGTTGATGTTTAATAACTCTTTGTAAATTGAATTGAAGAGATAATACACCTCTCTCCCTTCTTTACAGAGGTGGGGAGACTATGGGTGTGGATAATTGCATATACTGTGAGATTTGACTGATGTGTTGATTAGGTTTTTTTATCTTATGTTTTTTATTTTTATTCTTTTTTCAAATGATCAATATCTCCAATCTCTTCTTCCCCCTCATCCCTTACCCATGCCATCTCTTATGATAATGGTCTTTGAGATCTAGGTCCATAATCCTATAATTCTAAAAAAGAATAAAAGAAAAGGAAAAAAAAGTTAAGTAAATTAACAAGAATATTGAAAACAAATCTGACATTGTGCCTAGTGTTCTATTCTCAGAGCACTCTTTGAAGGAGCGTAGCAAGTCCAGACTTGGGCGTTATAATTTCACAGCCTTCAGGTTTGATTGTTTTGTTGTTCTTTATATTTGTGTTGTTGAAGTTAGTTGTGTAGCTTTGTTTTCCCGGTTCCTCTCCCGTCACTTTGCTGCTGTATGTCTTCCTGTGTTTCTCTGCAGTCATCACATTTGTCATTTCTTGTAGCACGGCAATATTCCATGATACTCATGCATCATTCCTCCATCAGTTAATGTTTACTTTGTTTCTAGGTCTTTGCTGTCACACTATTCTTTTTGATTCTTTGTTACCAGGGGCGCGTGTGTGTGTGTGTGTGTGTGTGTGTGTGTGTGTGTGTGTGTATTGATTAAAGATGTGGGTGCGATGGTGAATGCCTGTAGCCCCTGCTGCTGGGGAAACTGAGGTTGGGGTATTGATTGACTTTGAGAGTTTTGGGTTACAAAAAGGCTAGAGCTGACCCAGTGTCCAAACTAGTGTTGTCTGGCAGTTTGCCTCGGAAGGGTGGGACTGGCCTGGGTTGGAGACAGAGCTGCCAAAGCTGTGCTGATCAGCAGTGGAGTTGGGCCCATGAATGCCTAGGAAGACCCAGTCTCCAAAAAATTATAAAAAAAATTTGGAAAGGCTTTCTGGAAATGTTCATGAGGACAGGGAGGGGATTTTTTTTTCCTGTTGCCTTCCCATGGTTAATCTTGTGTAAATAAAAAGTTATTAATTTGTCTCTATGGGGTAAGAAAGTCTGAGTCCCATGATAATGTTGGTCCAGCATGTTCTAAGTCTCAATATGCTGTATCAATGTCCGGTATCATTGCTGCGGCTTTCTTTGCCTAAGCAGTTGAGTAGAATGCTGGTCCTTGCCACACTATGATCTGAATGTTCTCTTTCCTCCCTGCCTTTGGCGCCTCCCAGGTGTTCCCTCAGAGCTCTTCGTGGAGTGGTCAGAATATTTTTGAGAATCTCAAGGACTCGGAGAGAGTGTTGAACTGTAGGCTCCACGGGTCCGAGGTCCAGGTTCAGAATAAGCGGAACCTGACGCAGCACAACAGCTCCACGCAGACGGACATTTTCCATTTGGAGAGCCTGGAGGACAAGAAGGACCCGAGTGCCCCAGGGAGCAGTGGGGGCTCCTTCTGTGAGCACAAGCCCTTCCCCCGAGGGCCCTTGCAGGTCGTTGACTCTCATCGGAGCTGCCACAGTGCCTCGGAGCACAGTCTCAGCTCCTTTAGCTCGGACCCCTATGGGGAGCGTGGGTATGGACTGGTGAATTTGGGCAGTCGGAGGATGCTGCCTCCCTTTGACGCTGTCATCGGGGACTGTGTCCTAGTGGGAGCCACGCTAGAAGAGGCAGGGTCAGGGATGAAACACAGTGGTGGGACCTGGCCCAAGGTTATGGTCAATGCCTCTTCAGCAGAGACAGAGAAATTCTCCGTCTACAAGAAACCAAAGCAGAGGAAGTCAATCTTTGACCCGGACACCTTCAAGCGCCCCCAGACACCTCCCAAAGTAGATTACCTCTCCCCAGGCCCTGCACCTGCTCACTCTCCCCAGTCCTCCAAGGCAGAAGGGCCCCCAACTCCTCCCACCCCTCCCAAGAGGAGTGACTCCATTAAGTTCAAACATAGACCACAGGATAGCTCTGGTTCAGAGACCACGCTAGTCCCCGGCTCTCCTTCCACCAGCCCACCAGCTGTCCATCCCTCTGCCCCAGCCCCTCTGGGGCTCAAACAAAACTCCCCGCCTCACAAGGGCAGGGCTCGGATTCCTGGGCACTACTACCGGGAAGAGGAAGGGGACTGTGCCCTCTTGCCTGGAAGGAAGGCTTGTGAAGAAGACGGAAGTTTCCAGAGAGGGGACGATTCAGATCTGAAGCGACCCCGGCCCAAATCGGCACCGATTCTTCGGCATAAACTCACCCCAGTAACCATTCCTAGCCAGTCGCTTCAGGTAAAGACTGGCCTGAGTGGGTGGGAATGTGGGTGGTGGCAGGTAAGGAGGCCTGGTGCACTCAGTAGGGCTGTCTTGGAGATTCAGGTTCTGGACTGCTATTGCTCGTGTGACTTGGCCACCAGAGAAGAGTAGGCACCAATGGACAAGCAGATCCTTTAAATGATCTGGAATCCAGTGGTGGTATTTGGGCTTCTAATTGGAGGATGGAGACAGAAGAGGGACATGATCTTCAGGTATAGCTATCAATCAGTCCACCCCCATGGTTAAGATCATCCCTGACTGCCACATGAATGCGTTGCCAGCTCCCTTAAAAACAGGAGAAGGGCACTGCGTGTGGTGTTGGCATGTGAAGGAGTAACAAAACGATCCTTTGCCCCAGTGTCATCCTCCTAGGAGACCTGGGAAATGGCTGTGGTGAGTGTGCCGTCAGCCATTCAGTTTGGTTGGTGGCAAGAAAAGTGTTGTTAAGGCATGATGACTGAAGCTCTCAAGAAAGTTACAACTATGTAATTGACAATAGTTCTGATGGCTTGGAAACATTTAGTGAGCATTGTAATTCCGTAAGTCATCGAACAGCTAAGATGTATGACACTTCAAGAGGAAACACCAAGATGTATAACAGAATCCCTACCTCTAGATCTTAAAATAGTCTAAAGAGGAGCTAGATGGTGAACATCATAATTGTATACAGGGTATCTGAAAAAGTCCGAGTGCCATTTGGACGCTATGAAAGCCTTTTTGTGGACACCCTGTGTATTAAAGGAAGGAAGTGGCTAGGCTCAGTGATGGGCCAGATGGAAAGAGACGTAATACCTATTCTTAGGCAGTTTGTAGTTTATAGTCTTGTTGGAGAGTTAAAATGTCCATATGTGAAAGAAATAATGATATGCCAGTATATACCAGAGCGTCAAGAGGAGTAGAGACAAGAGGTGCCGTGGTTTAGGGAGTGGAGAGGTAAGAAAACAAAAAAAAATGGTTTGTTGAGCCAGAGTTGTCTTTTTAACCAGATGAAAAATTCAGAACAAACTCACACTGTATTCTCATTTATACTTAGCACAGTGCCTGGCACATAGTAGGTGCCTCATGGTTCTTGATTGACTGAATGACTGAGTTACATATGTTTGCATCATTGCTTGTTCCTTTTCCCTTCCTTCTTCCTCTTTCCCTTTTCCTTCTCTTCTTCCTCTCTTGACTTTCCTTTCTTCTTTTTCCCCCTTCCTTTTCCTCTCTCCTTCCACTCCTCTCCCATCAGTTTAACAAGAATTTATTAACCACCTACTATGTGATGGACACTGAGGATACAAAGAAGAAAAACAAAGTGTTTCCCATCCTCAGGGAGCTTACATTCTATTAGGGGGTGGGATTTACATAGAAAATTAAGTACAAAATATAAAAAAAGTAATTTTTATGGGGAGAGAAGTAACAATTGTGGGGAAGAGATCCTATCAAAGGATCAAGATAGTTCCTGTAGGATGTCTTATCTGCACTGGCCTTCAAAGGAAGCTACAGATTCTAAGAGCTGGAGAGAGGAGGGAATATGCTCCATATGTGGGAGATAACCTGCTCCAAGATGGAAGAACACCTGGCAGCTTGGTTTAGCTGAAAAGTAGGTAGAGTTCAGAAAGGAGAGCAAAACTCAATAAGCCTAGAAAGTAGACTGAGGCCATATTGTGAAAGGCTTAATAATCAGAGGAACTTGTATCTGATCCTAGGGGCAAGAGGGAGAAGTTGAAATATCGCAGGTGGAGGAATGACGTCATACTTGTACTTTAGGATTATCACTTTGGTGGCTGTGTGGAGGATGATTTTACTTTTCGCTTCCCTCGTCTATCCTTCCTCCCCCTTTTTTTTCCTCCACTCTGTCCTCCTCCCTCTTCCTTCTGGCTCCCCCTTCTCCTTTCTCTCCACCTTCCTCTGCCCTTCCTCCCTTCTATTTCCCCCTTCCTTTTTCCCCTTTCACAGTCAGTGGATATTTTTTTTTTTATGAGTCTCTTTCCTGTTCCATTTTCTTCTTCATCTTTTGTAAAGTCAGTTGCCACTTTTCCAGTTCAGGAAGTTGTGGTGGGGGTCAGGAGGGGTCTAATGGCCCTGTGTTACAAATTACTTCTCCATAGACCTTCAGTCCCAGAGAGGACCATTCGAACAAGAATAAGGTTGAGCTATGTTAGTACATTTCTTTCATCAGATATTCTCTGGCTTGGGACCTTATTTTCTGAAATCTTTCTCCAATCCTGAAAACCACGCATACCCAGGTTTTTGACACCCTAGGAGTAAAGCTTGGGTGGCCCATTCAGATAGGAAATAATCATGACCTAGAACAGAGCCCCAATGTAGAAAGCATTCTGGCTTTGTGGGGGAAAAGGACTACATTTGTAAGCCTCCACTCCATCATTCCTTGGCTCCACTGGAATATCTCTTATCCCTGGTTTCTAGGCACAGAAATACACTCCAGCCCCTGATGAACACTTTACTCCAGAGCTCCAGGAATGGATCCCTTATTCTCCGAAGCGGTCCTCCAGGCACAGTGATGGCTTCATCCCTATTTACTCTGGTGGAGTATCTGCAGGTGAGTGCTTTCAGGACCGTGGAGTTTGGTAGGAAAGGACACCATGTTCCAGGCACACACTAAAAGAGGAAGTTACCTTTTTTAGTCAGTAGTCTCCTTGAGAACTGCCCAGGTGCCTGAAAGGTAACACTCCCTTGTCCTTCATATTTACTTCAAATTTTTGTGATTTCTCTTTCTTTTTACAGTATATCCACATCAACAGTTTAGGCACACAATATACAGAAGCAAGATACCAGGGCTTGGATAAACTCAAAGATCCTAGCTCTTGGGGCAAGAACTCGTTATTTGAAAATGTGACAAACGTGGAAAGTAGGCTGGCAGAAACTGGGTATAGATCAAAATTTCACAATATATAACAAGACAAACTCCAAATGCATACACAGTTTAGACATGATATCATAAACAAATTAGAGGAGCATGGAAGAAATTACCTGTCAGATTATAGGAGAGGGGAAGCGTTCATGAGCAAAGAAGAGATGAGATAGAGAGGTTCACAGGAAGTAAAATGGATAATTTTGATTACATAAAATTAAAAAGTTTTTGCACAAAGAAAACCAATGTAGCTAAAATTAGGAGAGAAGCAGGATATTGGGTGGGGGGGAGAGTCTTTGCAGCAAGTTTGACTGATAAGAGTCAAATTGTGTTGAATTAGTAAGAATAAGAGCCATTCCCCTATTCAAAGATATGAATGGGCAGTTTTCAAGAGGAAGAAATTCAAACTACCAATAGCCATATTAAAAATGCTCTAAATTACTAATTATTAGAGAAATGCAAATTAAAATAACTCAGCTTCTACTTGTCAACCATCAGATCGGCAAGGCTGACAGAAAAGGAAAATCACAAACACTTGAGGATCTATGGAAAGACACACAAGATAAGGCAACTGGTAGTGTAATGGAAAGAGTCCTAGGCTTGGAGTTAGGAAGATCTGAGTTCAGATCAGACACTCATTGTGTGACCCTGGGCAAGTCACTTCATCTCTGTTTGCCTCAGTTTCCTCAGCTGTGAAATGGAGATAATAATAGTACCAACTTAGAATTATTGTGAGGATCAAATGACATATTGTTTGTAAAGTATTTAGCACAGTGCCTAGTACATAATAGGTGCTATAAAAATGCTTATTCCTTTCCCTTCTCCTTAATGAATTGTTGATGGAGTTGTGACTTGGTCTGGCCATTCTAGAAAGCAATTTGGAATTATGGCCTCCAAAGTCATTAAGCTATGCATCCCCTTTGACCCAGCAATATTAGTTTTTTACCCCAAAGAGATCAAAGAAAGAGGAAAAGGACCCAGATGTACAAAAATATTTATAGCAGCTCTTTTTATGGTAGCAAAGAATCAGAAACTAAGGGGATGGCTATTAATTGAGGAATGGCTGAACAAATTTTGGTATATATAACTGTAATGGAATTCTATTGTGTTGTAACCAATGAGGAAAGGGATGATTGTAGAGAAGTCTGGGAAGATTTGTATGAACTGATGCAGAGTGAAGTGAGCAGAACCAGGAGAACAGTTTATACAATAACAGAGCCAATCTTGAAAGACTTAAGAATTTTGATTAACATAATGAACAGGCATGATTCTGAGGACTGATGATGAAGCATGCTACCAACTTCTTGCCAGAGAAGTGATGGACTCAAAATGTAGAATGAATTTTTGGGTGTGGTTAATGGGGAAATTTGTTTTGCTTGACTATGCATGTTTGTTTCAGGGGTTTTGATTTTTGGGGATAAGGGTGATAAGGGGAGAAAATAAATGCTTATTAATTGAAAAAATAATAATAATTTTTAAAAATATCCTGTGGTGGCTAGGTTCAGGGGCTAGAAAGAAACTTCTGGAGTTAGCATGGTTTTCCCATTAGGTACAAGTTAAATGGTGAGCACTTGCTACGTTAGTCACAGACCTTGAGATAAATTGTCCCCCTTCCTCCCTTTGGCTGATATAATGCTGTGTGATTTTAGGGCAGCCCTGATATCCAGAGCTTCCAACCTTGCATAAACTCAGCTGCTGGGATAGGTTGGAGTAGATGCCTTTTTAGGTCCCATCCAACTTTGAGAGTCTCAGATTCCCTATGATATTTCAAATAATCAGACTCCTAATTAGGTTCCCTCTATTATGGCTTCTCTTGACTATTAAGGTCAATGAAGAGAAAGAGATCTTGGATATTTTACCTGCATGTTGGAAGTAGGACTTTGGGGGTCTTAAACTGTCTTGAAAAAAAAAAAAACAAAAAACGAGAACTAAGCTGTTAACCATATGAAAAAATGCTCTGAATCCCCAATAATTAATAATAACAATTATGGTTACTCTGAAGTTACACCTCAAATCTATCAGACTGGCCATGAAAACTGCTGGAGGGGCTGTGGGAAAACAGGCACATTAATGCACTATTGGTGAAGCTCTTTTAGTCCAGCCATTATGGAAAGCAATTTGGAATTATGCCCAGAAAGTTATTAAGTGGTACATATCTTTTGACCCAGTTATATTACTTCTCGGCCTATACCCCAAGGAAATTGAAGAAAGGGGAAAGGGAATTATGTAGAAAAATGTTTATAGTAGTTCTTTTTGTGGTATCCTAAAATTAAAAATTAAAGAGGTATCCTCCTATTGGAGAATGACTAAAGAAATTATCTGAATGTAGTGGAATATCATTGTGCCGTAAGAAATGATGAAACAAATAGTTTCAGAGGAAGACTGGGAAGACCTTTATGAACTGACCCAAGAGAAATGAGCAGAGTAAGAACAATTTGTACAATAATAACAATGATATAGAGGAAAACAGCTTTGAAAGACTTTGAAACCCTGATCAACACAATGATAAATCACTGTTGTTTTTTTTTTTTAAATTTTTTTTTTAGGCAATTGGGGGTTGAGTGACTTGCCCAGGGTCACGCAGCTAATAAGTATCAAGTGTTTGGTCTGAGGCCGGATTTGAACTCAGGTCCTCCTGACTTCAGGGCCGGTGCTCTATCTACTGTGCCACCTAGCTGCCCCCTAAATCACTGTTCTAAAAGATGGTAGATGAAACATTGCACTCTCATCCTGTCAGAGCTGTGATGATTTTAAAATGGAATCTGAGGCAAGAGAATGAAGCATTGTCTGACTTTATCTCCTAAGAGCCCAAGTCTTCCCTTGGAACTCTCTTCCCTGTAAAGTTAGCCATAAGTTAGTAAAATAAAGATGGAGAGATGCAGGAGAGGCCAGTTACGACTGGGTTTGCCCCTGTGGTCAGGAATTATGTTAATACTAATAACGACTAGATAATGTCTATAAAGAATTTTTAAACTTTAAAATGTTACACAGATGTCAACTGTTGTTACTGTTACTATTAATCACCATTACTGAGAAGTCACAGTGAATGTAAATGAAGAGAGACGCTGTGAGGTGATAGTTTTTCTTCTGGCCCCCTTTTCAGGTACTGTTCCAAGGAATTTAGCCCCCTGCCCTGCAGTGACTGCCATCATGAGGAACCCTATCTACACAGCTTGGAGCCATAGAGTTCACCCCAACAGCTGCCAATCTGCTGCCAGTCAGATGCACCATCAGCACTTGCATCCCAGGTATGCGCTCAGGAGGTTATGAGAGGTTCCCTTGCCAGATGGAGACTTAAGGACCAGAGAGGTTGAGACTTGTTCCCACATTGTACTTGGAACATAGTGCACATAGTAGGTGCTTAATAAACATTTATTGGCTATTGACTAGTATTCCATGGGCCAAGATGTGAGTGCAAGCCCTTTGCCTCCCAGTTGTCTGCTTCTCCTTGTAGCCCCAGATGCATGCCATTGCTTCCATCTATAAAAAGGTCCTCAGTCAAGAAGAGTTGCTTTGCTTTGCTACCATTTCTAGGGGTAGTGGACAGAAAGTGGCTGGGAAGCAAGCTGGCTTCAGATCCTCTGTCTTGACCTTGTTCGCTCTGTGAACTTAAGTCACTTGGCCACTCTGAGCCCAGTTCCACCGTGTCTAAAATGGAAATCATAATGCTTGTAGTTCCTACCTTTTAGGCTTATTATGAGGCTCGAAGGAGACAGTGTTTATATGTAAACTGCTTTGCACACCTGAAGGCACCGTGTAATGTCATCTGCTGTCATCATTTTTTATTATTATCCGCTGTTCTGGCAGAATGGACTAGGCAGACTGAAAAGAATAGGAAGGAGAATCTGTTAGGGGTGGTTTTAATAAACTCTTCTTCCAGGACATCTCTGTGTTTGGAAGGTCAGGGAGCAAAGTCTATCTACTGGGAAATTATGTCATTCTGGGAAAAGTCGTTGATTGGGGTCATGTACGGCCCTTCACTAGATTACCTCTAAGTCAGTATAACATTATATAGTAATAACATTAGATTTGTATAGACCTTGATCTTTATCTAAGCATCTCACCTCTGCTGGCACTGATCCTTAGAACCCTGTGAGATAATTGGAGCAATATTATCATTCTTGTTTGTCTAGTAAGGAAACTCAGGCTCAGGGAGAGCTCTTTGCAGTTGGGAACATCACTTACAAGTTATTAACAAATAAGTGTGTTAATTCTAAGTCCAGTTTTCCTGTACCCTGACTCATATGTCAGAACTCTTTTGCTATCTTAGGGAGGACTCTGTTAGGGACCTATGACTGTTAATGCTCCTTCTGTAGCCAGAGGGCAGGCAGGTAGCGCGGTGGATAGAACACTGGGCCTGGAGTCAAGAAAACTCCTCTTATGAGTTCAAATACAGCCTCAGACACTTATTAACTGTGTGACTCTGAGCAGGTCACTTAACCCTGTTTGCCTGAGTTTCCTTATCTGTGAAATGAGCTGGAGAAGGAAATGGCAAACCACCCCAGTATCTTTGCCAAGAAAACCCCAAACAGGGCGACGGACAGTCAGGCATGAACAGCAACAAGCCTTGACTGTCGTCTTCAAGCACCTAACTGCTTTGCTTTTCATGCAGCGCACAACACCAGGGCCGCCTGAGCCTGGACCTAAGTCACAAGCACTCCAGCGACTACGCAGAGACCTCAAGGACAAGAACCTCTCATGGGTCCAACTCATTACCATCTAGTGCCCGACTTGGTAACCATATCTCCAAGTAGAGTTTTTAATTTTTGTCCCTGAAGGTTTTAGCAAGTAGACTTCTGTGACCCTTTCCAGGAAACCTTGTAAATACCAAATTTAGTATCTTGTGCAGCTTTTTACCTCGTCTGTGGGATTTTTCTTTGTTTGATTGTTTATGTCTTTGTGGATCAAAATAGAATGATCACGGTGGTGTGTGGTTGTCTCTCCCGAGATGAGGAGACGGGACTATTTCTAGGACTGTGTGCCAGTGTAGCAACAGAATTTACTTATATCATATGCATTCAGATCTCTTTCCTTTTGTGATTGTCTGCACCCATGAAGCCAATCCGAGGACCAGTGTACTATTTGCAGGAGTAATGTCTTATGCGTCTCTCCCCCAAGATTTTTAGATATTTCTGGGGCCTTTATACCCCTGTGGAAATTTAAGATGATGATGAAAAGGGGCATATCTGCTTCTGAGTAAAACATTTGTGGAGTTAAGTTTGCTTAGTGCCAGTGTGCTTATTTGGGGCATAGCCTGCCCTAGAGTCCATGGAGGAGTTACCGAGTTAAGCCTGAGAATGCTGAGCCCTGAAGTTGCTCCTTGGCCCACGACTAGTTGTAGATGAGTTGCATATGAAGGATTTGAGAACTTTTAGAAATAACTAGAGAAATATGGATACTATAACTTTTTTTTTATGAGATAATTGTCATTTACCTGATCATAGATGCAAGGTGAGTATTTGGCTATTAACCATAAGCTAAGGTGAGGTTTTTCATAGAGAGGATTCAGCTGCTGACCTAAGAAAGATTGGAAGAGGACAGGTAAAAGAACACATTTCAGGATTGGTCAGAGAGAGACTTTAGCCCTGTCCATTGTCACTTGTTGCTGGGCAGGTTGGTTAGCCAATGAAAAGCTAGAGTGTGTTCCTCTAGGTCTTAGGGAAATTAAACACCACCCCCCCGTCACCTAAGTCTGTGCATGTGAGAGTAAATAAGTCAACTGCAGCCCAAGGAGAGAGCATGGGAAGAGTTGGGGGTTTGTTCTTTGCAGCAAATGATGGGGGTGGGCATCAATGTCTTTGCTAAGATTTGAACTACTGTGGCCTTCAGGGAGAAAAGAGAGAACTAGTTATCCTGATAATTTGGAAAACTGTTATTGTCCTTTGGGCTTGAGATTTGACTTGAATGTTCTTGTCCTTAGAGCATTTGGTGCTAGGATACTTTATTCCAGAACAGTGGGTTAAATTTCCATCTTTCTTGATGTCCATTTTATTCTGTTTTTTTTTTTTTTAATATTTGGACCATTTTGAGGGAATTGGCAGGATCAGACTTAGTCAAATGTAGTTTTCCTGTAAGCTACAAATACGGTGTCCTGAGCTGTGTGTCTTTGGATACTGACTTTCAGAGCAAGAGTGTATGTTTCCTCCTGGAATTTAAATTTCTTGTCTTTGTTACTTCTAGTGTCAAGAACCCTATATGACGCATAGTAGGTGCTCAGGAAATGCTTGTTGAGTTGAATTGTGAAACTTCTTTGTGATTTAAAAAAACAGGATCTTCGAGTAACTTACAGTTTCGGACAGAACGCATCAAAATTCCGTTAACACCAAGATACCCCCGATCTGTCATGGGCTCTGACAGAGGTAAGATGGGAATCCCCTTTCTTCTCTCTCCCGTTGCTTCCTGTTATTTCCTGCTTTTCCTAGGTTTCCCGATTTTAAAAAAAAATTTTAAACTGATGTTGGGCAACCATTCATCTACAGTTGGGTTGGGATGAGGAGGAGATAAAAAAGAGAGGAGACACAACTCTTCTTCTCAAAGAGCTTACTGTCTAGTTGAGGATATTGTTTGAAATAATAGTTAATGATCATAGGCTAATGATGAAAAACTGCCCTATGTGGTACACGTTATGTAGTGATCAGGAGCCCACTGGAAAAAAAGGACACCACTGAAGCCAGAGTAGCTTTTTGGAGGCTGTGTGCCTGGACCCAAGGGGTTAGCCTTCAGCTCTGAATTCCATTGAGCATAGAATAAATGTTTGATCTTCCTCTCTCTGTGCAGGTTCATTGTCCCATTCTGAATGTAGCAGCCCTAGCCTGATCACTCCTCCCCAGTCACCCCTGAACCTAGAGACCTCATCTTTTGCCAGCAGCCAGTCCCAGAGCTCACTCTCCACGCTGCCCAGGATCGCCATCAGTCCAGCATCAATAGGGGAGCGAAGGAAGGACAGGTAAGTGTGGTTATTGCTGTTTCTTTGGGAATCAAGTGGAAAAACATGATCTAATTGTCACGAAAAACTGGGAATGGTCTTGTCTTCTGTTATTTAGCCCAAGGCTGGTCTGCTGTTAGAACAATCGCTCAGCAGATTTTAATTAAGTACTTCTTATGCATGGAAGTACTGTTTTTACCTGTTGGAAAGTGAGGTAGAACACAGGTTTAGGGCATATTTTTGATGGAGCTTGTTGTACTTAAAAATCAACAAACTGCATATTTAAAGTATCATAGTTTTAGAGCTAAAAGAGCCATAGAATCATCAAGTTCAGCCCTCTCATTTTATAGATGAGGAAACTGAAGCCCCCAAAGGTAAAATTACTTGTCCAAGGTCACCCAGGTAGGAAGTGGCAAAACTGAGACTCCATGTTCAGCACTCTTCACTGTGTCCTGTGCAATATGAGAGGGAGAGGGAGGAGGAGCATGCTCTGTCCAGATATAAATATGCCCAGGATAAGTTATGGTCCTTACTAAGATGCTGTCTTTGTCTCCTCTGAGCTCTCTGATATCAGCTGAACCTTCTCTGCATCATTGATCTCCATACTCAATCCTAGCACAATTCTTTGGAATATTAAAAAGTAGAGTCTGTAGGGGCTTTGAAATCAGTTGTTTTAGTTCCTGCCATAGCACGAGCCATTTGAATGGGACTCTGATTTGAGGCTAGAAGTCTTTCTTGGGGTATAATTCATTTCCTTCTTTGCTGGCCTTTATGGTCTTTCCTGTCACTGGACAGTAAGAAAGTGTCTTTTGTTTGTGGAGACTAGGTCTCCCTATCTCTTGGTCAGTAGCACTCTGATCTTGAGCTTTGACCGGATCTTTTTCTCACCAGATCACCTGGCCTGGTAGTTCCTCCTCCCCCTGCCCCCCAGTCCCATCCCATTTAATATTAGTGTCACCCTATTTATGTTGAACTTAGGGCAGATAGCAGATTGAGTTCCCAGTTCCTGACGCTAAGAGGTCCACCGACCTCAGCCTCTCCAGTAGCCAGGTTGTTAGTTGGCTGCAGTTGATTCTTAAATCACTCTTAGATCAGGTTAACTTTAAGGCTGTTTTAATGCTCATCTTGATGTTTTGGTCTGTACCCGCCACCCCTAAAGTGCTTGTGCCTTCTCTGTTTTCTGTTGTTTATCCAAACTGGAAACTCACAAGATTGTTTTTAAAAGGATTTGGGGCTGGAGTGGGATCCTAGAAATGATTAGATGAGATTGTAAGCTCCTTGAGGGCAGGGACTGTCTTTTGTCTCCTTTCCTATCCCCAGCTCTTAGCATTGTACCTGACACTAAGTAGGTCCTTAATAAATGTTTGTTGTTTATTGATTGATTCAGTAGGCATGGTAGGATTGAAAGGGCTCTGGACTGACTGGTTGTCTGGAGACCTAAGTTTTGTCAGTGAATAGCAAATTATTTACCCTTTCTGAACTTCAGTTTTCCTGGCTGTAAAATAAGGAGTGGGTGGGTAATGGGGGATTAGATGAAGTTCCCTCCAGCTCTAAATTTGTAAGATTCTATGATTACGCGTTAAAATATCTGATACGTAAAGTGTAGTAGAAATTCAGAGGGCAGCCAGGTGGTGCAGTGGATATAGTGCCCAGTCTAGAGTCAGGAAGACTTATCTTAGTGAGTTCAAAAATGGCCTTAGATACTTACTAGCAGTATGACCTTGGGCAAGTCATTTAAACTCATTTGCCTCAGTTTCTTCATCTGTAAAAGAACTGGAGAAGGAAATGGCAAACCACTCCAGTGTCTTTGCCAAGAAAACCCCAAATGGGGTCATGAAGAGTCCTCAGACAGGACTGAAAAACAGAAAGAAATTCAGATAAGGGAGAGATTAGTATTGGTTGGAATTCTTGGGAAAAGTTTCTTGGAGGAGCTGGTATTTAAAGCTTGAGTATTATCTGGATAATTAAAGATGAGATGGAGAAGATTCCAGGCAGAATCTTAACTTTAAGATGACTAGTCAATCAATAAGCATTAATTAATAAGCATATTAAGTGCCTACTATCTGCCTGAACTCTAGACTAGGAAGTCTAGAGGGACACATTTCAAAGAATAGAATAAATCACTATGTATAAGGACCCTACAATCCAATGGAAAAGAACAGCACTAACCCCAGGAAGTTGACTTTGTACAGTAAACTTAGCATTGGGAGGGAGAAAGGAAGAGAGTGGTTTGCCACCCAACTGAGCCAATCAAAGGATTGTTTCCAGTCAGTGAGCATGTCATGAAGAGCTGTACTGTGGGGCTAGATACCTAAAATCTGGATGCCATGTTTTCTGACCTCAGGTAGTCCCAATCTTAAGGTGAAATGTTGCTTGGTGGTCAGAATAAAAATGGGATGTCATGATGTGGAAAAATAGCCTATCTTGGTTCTTTTGTCCTCCTGCTCCTCCTCTTCCTTCTGTTACATTTCTCAATGTCTGTTGTTCAGTGTCTGAGTTTTTCTTTTCCTTCTTTCCTGAATCTTCTGCCCCTTCCAGATATCTGTACCGTAATAGATCTTTTCTGAGACTTCCTGTGGCTCCCAGGCCTAGGTTCTCCTCCCTAAGGAGTTTGAGGTTGGCCTGACTGACATAAGGTTCTCCTCCAGCAGTATTGTGCACTTCTCCTTGTGCCTGTTTGACACGTTTGGATAATTTCCCCAGGGAGCATTTGCATGGTAATTGTGATGCTACCATGCAAAACCGCTCTGGTATTTTTTTTTAAATTATTTTTAATGGCTTGGGTTTGTGATGGCTTAATTCCTATGATTGATTTGCATCACCTTGCATAGTTGGCAAATATAAAAATGAATTCTTCTGGATTGCTTCCCCTGGATTGACCTCATCCTGAAAGTTATCCTGTTTTTCTAGTCTTAAATTCCCTCCCCCTTCCTAGCCCTCCCAACATTTATAAACTATATGGTTCAGGGACGCTTCCAAATTATGGTTTGTAAATTACATATTATATAAGGCAACTACTTACATATATAATATGGATTGTCATTTTCTTTCCTCCTTTTCGAGTTTATAGTTTGTATTGACCATACTTTTTGTTGTGTTCTCAGTTAATCCACATCTTTAGGACTGTGTACCTTGGTTTCTGTGGGGTGGTGCCATTTTTTTTTTCTTGCATGAGGTTTCAGGAATGTGTACAATCTGTTATGAAAGGGATGGTCATCACATTTCCATTTACTGTGGTTGTCACCCATCTCCTAAATATTTATTTGATTTTTCTTGATAAGGGGATGCCGTGACGTCTGGTTTTTTCCTTGTAGCCCATTGCATGTCTGTTTTGTGTCTGTCTTTGATCTGTGATTAAGAACCATTCTGTCCAAAGTGTGCCTTTGGGGTGAAAGCCTACTTGGGATTGTTTCTTCCTTTGTAAAGGCCTTACATGGAGGAGCCTCGCCATGTCAAAGTGCAAAAGGGTTCAGAGCCACTGGGAATTTCCATAGTGAGTGGTGAAAATGGCGGAATCTTCGTTTCGAAAGTAACTGGAGGAAGCATTGCTCACCAGGCTGGCCTGGAGTATGGTGATCAGTTATTGGAGGTAAGAATTGACCTCCCTTGAGGGAAATCTTCTCATTTTGCAAACTTTTCTTCCAGTGACCTGGAAATGGAAGCACCTTATGTCACGATGATGATCAAAGCCCTTGTATCTCTAGACCCTCCGCAGGGACCAAGTAGAGATCTCCATGGATGAGATTCTTCCCTCTGGTTTATCTTCACAGGATATGAGCGAGAAACAACCTCAGAGGCCATCTACTGCAACCCCTTATTTTACAGCTAAGGGAACTGAGGTCCAGGCAGGTGAAGTGATCTTTCCAAGGTCATATAGGAAATGAGCATCAGAGGCAAGATTTGAACCCGGGTCCTTTGACTCCAGAACTCTTTCCATTGTACCTCACTGCCTCCTTGCTGTCCCTGATGGTGTGACTGGGTCTGTTCCGTTACAGGGCTTGGCAGGATGGGTCAGAGGTTGTGATCTGCTGACCTAGCTTTTAAAATCCCAAGTTCTCCTTTGTGCCGTGTTGAGTTTTAAGGAGACGGAGTTAGGAGAGGCATCCAGGATAGATCACAGAATACCTTTTGAAGACACTGGGGATGCTTAGACTGATGGCAAGACCCACGGGGCCCATGAGAGCCATCATCAAGTGTTTGAGGGAAGGTTGTGCGGAAGAGGGCTTAATTTTGTTCTTTTAGAATCTCGAACAGTGGGGATGAAGATTCAGAGGGGCCAATTTAGGCCTGGCGCCCGTAGAAACTTTCTGCCGCTTAGAGTTGTCTAGGAGTGGATTGTTCTCTCTTGTTCTCTCCTCCTCCATGGAAGTCAGGCAAAGGATGGATGAGCATCTGTTTCAGATTCTTTTTGCGTAGGTTCTGGACTATAGGGAGCTGCCTATCAGAGCCTGTGGTCCTAGAATAGCTTTGATATTTTTTGAAATGACAAAAAGCGGTATCAACCTCCCAGCTCTCCTAGGGTTTGTCAGGACCTTCTTAACGTCCCCCCCCCATGATCCGTTTGTTTTCTCTTTCAGTTCAATGGCATTAACTTGAGGAATGCGACAGAGCAGCAGGCGAGGCTGATCATCGGTCAGCAGTGTGACACCATTACCATCCTGGCCCAGTATAACCCACACATGTATCAGCTTGGAAACCACTCCCGGTCCAGGTGAGAGCAGCTCCCTCTCCGAGATGGACCACCATTTGGATGGTGATGAGACTGAGGGTGGGAAAGTGTCAGCGGGAAAATGTGATTAAAGAAGGAGGAGGCCACATGTTTAGTGGATAGAAGGCAGGAAAAGAGGGGAAGGAACAAGCGTGTATAGAGTACCTGCTCTCTGTCAGGCACCGTGCTGACTATTTTACAAATATGATCTCATTTGATCATCACAACAACCTGGGAGGTAGGTGCTAGCCTCACCCTCATTTTACAGTTGAGAGAACTGAAGCAAGAAGAGACTAAGTGACTCGTCCGAGGTCGCACAGCTGGTAAGCGTCCGAAGCCAGATTAGAGCCCCTGACTCCAAGCTCAGTGTTCTGTTCACCCGACCACGCTGGACTTGTAGTTGGGAAGCTGTAGGGTCAGAATCCTACCTTAGATACTTGCTAACTGTGGGGTCCTGGGTAACTTGGTTAACCTCTTTTTGATTCAGTTTCATTATCTGTGAATGGAGAGGTGGATCCTCTGACCTCTGAGGTCCTTTTCAGCTCTAAATCTTTGATCTTAGGATTTGGTGTGGCTTGGTCATTGAATGGATCCAGTGTGCTTCTTGTTCCTTGACTTAGTGACTCTATCCACTGGCTAATGTCCTACGCTTGGGGGGAGAGGGAGAAAAACAATCATAGGTTTAAAGATTTAGAGCTGAAAGGAATCTCAGAGGTCATCTTGTCCAGCCTTCTCATTTTACAGATGAGGAAACTGAGGCATAGGGTAAGTGACTTGCTTACAGACACAAAGCTAACAAGTGTCAGAGGTTGGAGCTGAAGCTAGGCCTTCCCAACTCCATCTACTACACCATACTTGAGATCTCCTCCATTTTAGATCTGAGAGCCCATGGTTGGGTTATCCCTGCCTCAAAGGCCCCATTCTGGGGGCACGGTTACTGGGGAATGTGGCCATGGGTCCTGCATGAATTCTCAGCCTATATGAAATGGCCTCATATTGATTAGTCATTGAACAAGTGTTTTTTGAATACATTTTCTGTGTGAAGTTCTGTGCCTAGGATAGGTCCGACGTGGCCACAAGAGAAGGTGGTATTTCATACCCTGGAGAGTAATGGTGGAAATTAAGAGAGAATCAAAGAGGGAAGGGGGTAAACCAGAGCTTTGTTCAGTCTTTTGAACTGTATATATATATTTTCTTTGTACAGGATTTTGCTTTAGGGCAGATAAAGATTGTTGGCTTAATTCTCAGTCACAGCTTAAATTTCTTTCTCCCCTTAAAAGAAAAGCCTCCATGATAGAAAAAGTTAAAAACAGTATTAGAAGAGAACTCTGAGATCATCTTGTTCAGTTTGTGCCTGGACACTGATCCCTTTGTAACCTTTATAGCCATACACACAGTCATCTGACCCTCTATTTGAGGCCCTAAAGTGATGAGAAGTTCACCGCTTCCCAAGGTAGTCCATTCCACTTTGGGGCAGCTCTAATTATTAGTAAGAATTTCTGTATGTCCTCAAACTTTCCTCTCTGACACTTCTCCCCGTGGCTCCTAATTCTTCCCTCTAGGACCAAGCCAAATATATCTAATCCCTTTTCTTTGTGACAGTCTCTGAAATGCGTAAAGACAGCTACCATGTTTCTTCCTAAGTCTTTTCTTCTCTAGGCCAAACAGACTGAGCTCCTTCCACTAGCTTTTCCATAACACATTTTTTAGGTCCTTCACCGTGCTCCAGCTTGTCTTTCTTAAAATGTAGTGCCCAGAAGTGATAGCAGTCCTGTAGAGATGTGGCCTGACTCAGAATGCACTTAGGTCCCTTCTTCTGAAAACTCTGCTTCTATTTATGCAAAACCCTTGACAATGTTAGTTTTGGGGGCTGCCATATCGCACTGTTGATTTGTGGCCGACGGTAGAGATTTGGGCTGTGGTGCTTGGGGTCTGGGGTAGTGATGGTGGTGGTGCGAAGTGTATTTTGCCCTGGCATTTTTTTTTTTCTCTCTGTAGCTCTCGACTGGACCCCGTGAGCACTCATTCCAATCCACAGGGCAGTGGGTCTGCCACTCCAGACAGCCATTCCATCATTGACACAGTGAGTGAGCAGGACGAGGGGACCATAACGCCAACATCCAAGCAAACCACACCTACCACCAGCCCTCGGAATTCCATCAGGTCAGCCGCTGGTACCTCTTTATTCATGCACCCCTCTCTTTGCTTTGAGGGAGACTCTAGATAATCAGACCATTTCTGGGCCAGGCACTTGTTCACACCGATGCAGAAATTAAAATGGATTTGAAGCAGCCGCGTACACCAAATAATTAACATCACTCTGTAGGCCAAGACTTAGTTGAAATGAACCTGGGCATCAGGTGTGAGCTTACGAGCCTTGCCATCATTTAGCTCCCCATTCTGGTCTTTCACTCAGAGATTCAGAGCGCAATCAGTTCTTACTTATCTGTGGGTTTTTTGAGTATTGACCTCTGAACCCCGTCTTTGGCCTGCCCTCAGATGCGCTGACCTTCCCAAGCCAGAAGGCGATGTTGAGCTAGTTCAGGTGTGGGTTATATTGAGACAGAAGAACTAGGGTGTGACAACACTGCCTCCCAGTGGACAACCCAGACTGTTGCGCCATGATATGTCTATTCTGTTGAACTGGGAAAACACACTTGATATTCTCACTACCATGATTTGAGGGGACAGGGTCATGATATGGCTGGGGAAAGACTAGGTGAGAGCAAAGGCAAGGTGGACTCTGGGAGGGTTATCTTCAGCTCATCTTTGATTGAGGCTCAGACTCCAAGAATGTTCATCCTGAAGGGAACCCTTAGGGATCATCTAGCTTTGTTTTTGAAAGGTTTTCAAGGTCACACAGCTCGTTTGTTGCAGAGAGAGAACTAGGCTAGAACTCAGGTGTCCTAATTCTCCTAAGCTCATTAAAAAAATTGTTAAAAACTTTATTTCATTTTTTAAATTAAATGCTCTGTTGATATTATTTTAGAAAGCTTTTACTTCCTTCTCATTCCCCTGTCTCCTGCTGAACCCTCCCTCACAACATAGTTTGTTACAACTAAGTTCATTCTGCTCCTACTGTCCCCACCTCTCCACTTTACCTACAGCTCACTGGCAACACAATTAGATAATGTATTGGGTCCCCACCTCTCTGCAGTGCATTGGGTCCCCATCTCTCCACTTTCCCTGCAGCTCACTGGCAACATGATTAATAATGCATTGAGCAGAGGCTTAATGTCTTTTGAGGTTATCTTCCATTATGTTAGTGTGGTCTTCAAGTGAAGGGTCTCTGGCTCTGCTTGTTCATTTCACTCTGCATATGTCCATACCAGTCATCCCAGGTTTCTTTGTATTGGTTTTTATGGTGCTGTAATATTCCACTATATTAATAGAGCAGGATTTGTTCAGTGATTCCCCATCAATGGACATCTACTTTCTTTCCATTTCTTTGCTTCCACAAAAAAGGGGTGTGACTTTTTTTTCTGAGCCAATGACACTTTATTAAAAGATTTATGGTCTCCTCTAATAAAGTGGACCTCAGATCTTCCTCATGCTCTGAGATGCCTTATTTTTTCAGTATCTTGTTATTATAGGATATGATATCCAAATATGCAAAAGAAGTATGGCAAAAACCAGAATCTCATTGGTTGATAGACCTTGATCTTCAAGGCCAAAAATGACATATTAGCAGGGGGGTCGCAGGTTGGGTAAAGTACGAGGTGTCTCTACTGACTAAATGGTCGTAAGATGGTCACCTGCTCATGTTGGATAAGAGAGAATGGTCCAGTTGCGCAAGAGAGCCTCATAACTTAGTAAACAGGTAGTGAAGACTACATTAAAGTTGGAGACCCACTAAGAACCTATCTATCCCTATGTGGTTTATGTAGAATATCAAACCTATTAATACTGATGGAAATAGAGTGGGGGTCCAAATGAATTCTCTCAGAGCCAGGAGACCCAGCATTGGGGAGAATCAGGGTTCTGCTGTGGAGGGTGAGCTGGTGGGGAAGAAGTGAAGCAACCACTGACAGATATTTTCTAAGGGGGGGATTCTCTCCTTTTCCCATTACATCACACCTCTGAGCTGGGTTCTTTTGACACTTAATTGTTAGGAACTGAGGCTATTTTTAATAATTGCTTAAGTAGAATATAATTATGAATATAAATGTGTGACAAAAGAAAATGTGAGGCTTACTTCAAGGCCAAACACAGAATATTTTTTAGATTATCTCCTGACTGTTTTCTGTCTTAGTGAGCTATACATTCATGGCTATAACCAAGGCAGCTTTTGGAACAGAAGTCCTGGTATCACAGCCTTAGATCTTTGGGTTGGAGGGAACCTCCACAGGTAGTCTGCTCTAGCCCCTGGTTTCAGGAGCTTTCTGGAAGAGGAAACTAAAGGCTACACCTTTACTTTCACCTCTAAGATCCAGGCTTACTGTACCATGGCTTGGAACCCACTTCTTCTTTGACAAAGGGTCTGTATGCGTGGTTGAGAGACAATTAACTTTCCTTCTTCCTCCAAAGGATCTTGGCAGATGCCAACAAGAGAACTCCAGAACCTCGAGTTGTCATCATCAAAAAGTCCCAGGTGGAACTCGGTGTGCAGATATGTGGCGGGAACCTGCATGGGGTGTTCGTGGCAGACGTGGAGGATGGCAGTCCTGCCAGTGGTCCTGAGGGGCTGGTACCAGGGGACCTTATACTTGAGGTAAGGACGTGAGCTAATTAAATGAAGAAATTTTTCCCCTATGGGAACCACTTGGAATCTAGGCTTCTCAACTCTTAGGGAGCCCCTGATCTGATGACTGTCCCTGTCCCTGTCAGTTCAAATGCCCCCTTCTCTGTGAGGCTGATCTCAAGCCCCTGTACTGTTAGTGTAGTCTCCCTAAAATTGCATTGTGTATATTTTGTCCGTTTTGTGCCCTCTAATAGAATGTAACTACCTTGAGGGTGAGGTCTGTCTTACTTTTACCTTATTATCCCCTAGCACAGTGCCTGGCACATAGTAGGGGCTTAAAAAATAACTTATTGATTGGTTCACTGGGACACCCATAGTCCTTGTCCTCAGGGAGCCCCGATCTAACAGGAAGGATATTCTTCCCATATTTGAGAAGCGCATTGCCTGATATTCATGGGTAGGTAGGTAGGATAAGGAAAATGTTAAGGATGTAGAAATGAGCACAAGAAACATAAGAAGATGCATGTACCAGCTTTGGAGACATCCAGTTCTTCTGAGAAGCCATGTGGGATCTAGAAAGAGGGCAGATTCTATTCATTTAATAAGTGTTTATTAAGCCCTACTACGTGCCATGCACTGTACTAGGAGTACAAAGACAAAAATGAGAAGATCCTTGCTTTCCAGGAGGTTATATTCTACTGCAGGGAATCTGCCTGTCTGCAATTAGCCATGGAGGGAGGATAGAGGGTGTTGACCAAAGATACTCAAAGGAAGAGACAAAAAGAGGCCTCGAAGTTTAAAATGGAAGGATCTGCCATCTAGGGACAGGGTGGGCAGATTCTCTCTGTTTCTGTCTCTGTTCTCTCTTGCTCCCTCTTTCTTTCTCTTCAATCTTCTCTCTTCTCTTTTCCCTCTTGCCTTTTATGTCTTTTGTTAGTCTCTCTACTCTCTTTCTCTTTCTTTTATTCTCTCCTTTTTCTTCCTTTTTCCTTCTTTTTCTTCCTTCTCCTTAGTCTTCTCTTCCTTCCTATTTTTCTCTTTTCTGTCTTGTGCTTTCTCCCTCTATTTCTTTTTCTTACCCATATCTCTCTCTCTGTCTCTCTCTGTGTCTCTGTCTCTTCCTCTCTCCCTCTTTCCTTCCCTCCCCTTCTCTCCCTCTCCCCTACTTCTTTTCCCTCCTCTCTCTTCCTCTGCCCTCCCCCCATCTCTCTTTCTCTCCTTTTGTATCTCTCCTGTCTTCTGTCTCTCTTGTCTCTCTTTCTGTCATTTGACCTTGCCTTCCTGACCCTCAGCCCTCTGGCTGTCCTCACCCCCAGTCTTCTTTTCCTTTCCCTTGGCAGTACGGTTCTGTGGACATGAGGAATAAAACAGCTGAGGAAGCCTACCTGGAGATGCTGAAACCTGGGGAAAATATTCGTGTGAAGGTGCAGTACCGCCTGGAAGATTTCAACAAGGTCAAGGACATTCCGGGAGATGGCTTCTACATTAGGTACTCGGGGTGGCCTGCCCCGTCTCTTTCATAAAACCCAAGTTGTCTTTTGGCTAGATGTGGAGTACAGCCTTTCTCTGCTCAGTATCTCCCCATCTTGTCCCTAGGGGTGGGCATAAGGATAGCTATTAATTCATCTTTAGGCTTTTTTACCTTAGTGACAAGACAAAGCTTCTCAGGTGTTTGAGGGACAAGGCAGAGCAACAGATTTGGACTTAGGGTCCAAGAAGCATAAGAGAGAGTGACTGGAAGTCTCTTGTTATCAACCCCTGGCACTGAGTTTTGATGATTCTAATGAGATGATGATTCTGAGATTTGATGATTCCCTATGATACTGGGGAACATTGGCTACAGAACATACAGTTATAACCCTTAGGGAGATCCTGTCTGATGGGGGGGGAGGGGGGTTCGTTCCCTGCTTTTGGCTGCCCTTGGGCTGGTCAGCAAGAGACAGCTTGTCCCCTGGGGGAGCTCCTGACTTAATAACCTAGTCCTTTTCTGGAGGGGGTCTCTGGCCCATCAGGAAGCATCGCACCCTGCTCTTGAGGTATCTCTTTGGATCTGATGGAAGGAGGTGTGAGGTAGCTTAGCTTTTAGGGACTGAGTGTGAAGGAACATCCCTTGGGGCTTTGGACAATAAAGGAAAGACAAGTGCTGACCCTACTCTCCTCTCCCTCTGGTCCAGGGCGCTGTATGACCGACTGGCAGAAGTGGATCAGGAGCTGAGCTTCAAGAAGGATGACATCCTCTATATTGACGACACCCTCCCCCAGGGTACCTTTGGCTGTTGGATGGCCTGGCAACTAGATGAGAATGCCCAGAAACTGGAAAGAGGCCAGATCCCCAGCAAATACATGTGAGAGGACATTTAGCTCCCGAGGGGCAGAGAGGAGAGAAAAGGGGGTGTAGAGGTGGAAGAAAATGGGCCTTTTGGTCATAGTGGAAGAGGAGAGAGTCTCTGGGTCTCCTCCTTCTGGCAGGTATGAGATAATGAGGACCTTTACTAGTAGTTTTTTTTTTTTAAATAGACCAGTGATTTTATTTGCATAGGATATCGAAGCTCCTTAATGCAGATATATACCTTTTGTGTATCTTCTTGTCTTAGAGAGTTGCCCAGTGGCCCTGAGAGCTTAAGTGAGGGTCACATAGCTATTGTGTGTCAGAGAGAGGTAAGACTCAACCTTGGTCCAGTTGACTTGGAGGCACCTTCTGTCTTTTACAAGATGGGGCCTCTGGAGTATTAGCATCAGAAGACACAATAGAAGGCAGACTGTTGGGAAAGAAGACTGGAGCGTTGGGGTCAAACTCACATAGGAAAGGGGGCCCCTAAACCAAACATAAGGATCACTACAGGCTGCATATTGACTTAGAAAAGCACACATTGGAGCAGCTAGGTGGTGCAGTGGATAGAGCACCGGCCCTGAAGAAAGGAGGACCTGAGTTCAAATCTGGCCTCAGACCAAACACTTGATGTGCACTAGCTTTGTGACAGTGGGCAAGTCACTTAACCCCGATTGCCTCACCAAAAAAAAAAAAAATTAAAAAGAAAAGCACACATCAACATTAGCTGGGTTCTACTGGATTTTTATTTATTTAGTGAACTATTACCCAATTGGATTTTGATCTGCATTGGGCTGTCCTTAGGAGTGTTGCCCAGCTGTGTTTGACAACCTTTCTCTGGAGGATATGATTATTTATTAGTGGTATGGAGGGGTAAGAGAGGAAGGAGGAGTGAAGATGACTTCAGATACTTGAACCAAGGCAACCAAAAGAGCTGATAGTGAATTCACTTCCTTTGCCCCATTCCTGGGCTTTCCATCACTCAGTGTATGAATAGACGCTCTTCCTTTTATTTTCAACCTGTCCAGTGCTCAAATATAGTGGTCTGCAGGGATTTCAAATCTCATTGAGATTCTACATAATACGGTAGGAGCCGAGTGAAAGGACAGTGCTTACGTTAACTAAATTATGCAGTTTGGGTGCGAGTCCTTCTAGCTGTGAGCCCTTGGAAAAGTCATTCAACGTTTTTAATAAAGACTATTTATATGGTATTTTAAGGTTTGCGAAGGACTGTACCCATGTGATTTCATTTGATCCTCACAACAACCCTGGGAGGGTAGGTTCTATTAATATCCTTGGTTTACAGATGGGGAAACTGAGGCTGAGAGGTTCAGGGACTTGTCCAGGGTAACACAGCTAGTAAATATCTGAGGCAGGATAACTCAGACTTTCTTGGCTCCCAAGTCCAGTGGAACTTAACCACTTCTCTGCCTAGCTGCCTCTGTAAGACTTAGTTGCCTTGTCTGGCTTAAAATCGGTGAAATATTTGCACTCTTAGGATTTTTGTGATGCTGAAATGAGCTATGTAGCACTGTGTAAACCATCAAGAGCTGTGTAAATTAAGCTGCTATTATTTATTACTCTTTTCACCAGGGGGTTGGCCGCCGGGTGATTTTAAAATTATTTTTTGACTACAGCAGCTCATGAAGCCTTCTCTTAGGGCATGAAGACGTTGCAGTCCACATCTGTGCAGCTAGTACCCACTGAGGAAGTCACAAACTGTTTAACATAGCCTTATTATCATTATAGCGTACCTTGTTTAGATGTGTATCTGGCCATAATACTGGTCAATTAATGCACCTCCAAAAACATAACTACATATGGAGAAACCTTGATTACTACCAGACAGTTTGCTTCTAAGGCACGTATTTGAACTCCTGAGACTGGTGGCCTAAAAGGAGTGGCACCTTTGTATAATGGAATGGTAGATGGTTAAACAAAGTAGCTTCAGGTGGACATATCTATTTGTAAGGCACCTGTTGTTGAAGTCCTGGGTCATGCCTGCTCTGCTATTAACTATTTGACCGTGGGTGGCACTAGACCAGATGATCCTTGAGTTTCCTGCCCACACTAACATTCAGTCGCACCTTTTCTTACTGTAGGATGGACCAGGAAGTCTCCAGGAGGCACAGCATGTCTGAAGTCAAAGACGAAAACAACTCAAAGACGTTGTCAGCCGCTGCACGGCGGTCCTTCTTTCGAAGAAAACAGAAGCATAAACGGAACGGCTCTAAGGACAGCAAAGACTTGCTGTCTCTGGACACCATCAGCACAGACTCCATTCCCTTCCTGGAGGGTAAGTGACTTTGGTGGCCTTAGAGTGGCTGTCCCTCAGGCTTCCTTTCCAGGCTAAATTATAGGCCCCTCAGGGAGCGGTTCAGCGGATGAGCACTCTTAGGTCATCACCATTTGACCCAATAAGCATCGATTAAACACCGCTTTTGGTGGAGTGTTCCCAAGACCCCTTCAAAGGCGTGGTTCTCGGCTCTTGCTGGAACGACGTGTGTGGATTGATTTTAATTAATTGTCGGTTTCAAACAAGTGCCTTCCTGCTTTTCTTTTCAAACATTGGGTTGAGTTTCCCTTCCCCTCCCCACTTTAAGCTGTATCCAATACTTTCTTGGTAGACCTGCGTAATATACTCCTCATTCTCTATAGAGGTCCTGTGTATTTCGTGTGGGGTGTGATAGTCAGACTCAGGGGTAAAGGGAGGGTTATGGATAGGAGGTATGAATGATGAAAGTGTTCTTTATACATAGGTAACAGAAGGTAAAAGTTGGATATAACCCCTGTTTCCAAACTTCTCTATTATTGAGGCCACCACCATCTTCCCAGTCCCTCAGGCTCCCAACCTTGGTTTCATCTGCAATTCCTCATTATCTCTTGGTCCCCATATCCAACCTTTGCCAAGGCCTGTTGATTTCTCTTTTGTAACGTCTTGAATATGGCCCCTTTCTCCTCTGACACTGCCACCACTTTAGCACAGGCACTCTTCACTTCATGCCTGGACTATTGCACTGATATTGGGTCTGCCTGCCTCAAGTCTCGCCCTACTCCAGTCTATTCTTCATTCAGCTACTAAAGTGATTTTCCTAAAGCACATGTCCAACCATGTCATTTCTCCCCCAATAAACTCCAGTGGCTTCCTGTCACTTCCAGTTTCAAATATAAAATTCTCTGGATGGTGTTCAAGTTCTTCATAACCTATCCATTCCCCCATTTTCAGCCTTCTAGTCTTCTTACACCGTATACTTTCCCACAAACTCTCAAATCAGTGACCGTGCCTGTCTTGCCGTTCTTGAACAAAACACTCCATCTCTTGACTCCTGGGCATTTTCACTGGCTGAGATGCTTGCTTTCTTCATCTCTGCCTCATGGCTTCCCTTGCTTCCTTGAATTCAAGTTCCAGCTAAATTCCCACCTTATACTTTATACAGGAAACCATTCCTAGTTCCTCTTAATTCTAGTGCCTTCCCTCTGTCGATTACTTCCTAATTATCCTGTATATAGCTTGCACATAATTATTTGCATGTTGTCTCCCCCCTGAGACTGTGACCTCCTTGAGGGCACATAGTAAGCACTTCACAAATGTTTATTAATTAACTGACTCTACTATTCAGTGTGTGTGTGGAGGGAATGTCTTCCTTAGCCTTCTCTTCTTTTCTGGCAAACTGAAAAATTAGTTCTGATCAAAGTTAAGGGTTGAGCCATTCTCCCCTCTCTGAGCCCTCTGCGCGTCTCTTGGTTTTTCCTTTTCAGATTCAGTCAGCCTGGTTTATCAGCGGGTGCAGAAGGTGGACTGCACTTCTCCAAGACCTGTTTTGATTCTGGGGCCTTTACTTGATGCTGTGAAGGACATGTTGGTGAAGGAGTCTCCTGGGAAATTTTGCAGATGTCCTCTGGGTAAGTAGACCTCTTGGGAAGACAGAATGCCTCATTTAGCCAGTGTTGGTAATCACAATGATATCTGTAAGAATACTTACTCATACTGTGTCTCTGTTATTCTTCTTACTACACCTTATTGTTTAGGATAACAAGTAAATAACAGTTAAATTTACTTAGGAGAAACTACAAGATTACTAGAAACTTTGGGGGAAAGATTCGTGAGAAGATGTCAGGAAACCAAGGAGTATCTAATAAGTACAGGATGGGTTGTGACCAGAGCCAGGTTACCAGAACAAGACGTTATCCTAAGTAGCAGTGAGAGGGATTTAGGGTAGCTCCAAGGAAAGAGAGCCATTCACGTCTTTGTTGTGTCTTTCAGAGGTGATGAAGGCCTCCCAGCAGGCCATTGAGCGAGGGGTCAAGGATTGCCTGTTCATTGACTATAAAAGAAGAAGCGGCCATTTCGATGTGACCACTGTAGCATCAATAAAGGAGATAACAGAGAAGGTATTGATGTCCCCGCTTTATTCTGTACGTGTGGAGCCAGAGAGAGCTCAAGAAGTAGGAGTGGTCAGCCCTGGACGCCCTACAGTATTCTCTGTGAGGCTCTGCACGTCGCATCTCTGGACCTCAGTTTCCTCTTCTGTTAAAATAGCAGGTTGATTATATGATTCCCTGCTTTGGCAGTTTTTTTTTAACTGTGCGTCTGTGTCCATCTTTAGAAGAGGTGGATATTTTCCAGGTAACACTTAGTATCTATGAATTCATAGGTACATAGGGTAAATTGGGGCCATCTGGATCTCACCTCATTGAAGTCAAGCAAGTGATGGCGTCATGATACAGGCTTTGTCTTGGATTAGTTTCTCAAAGTTTGTAATTTATTGTTCATGGAAGCCATATTGTACTTCCTTAATGCCTGTTAGATACTTACGTGTTAATTATAGAGTAAGGGACATTTCTGTGAAGCAGGTGGAGGGTAATATGATGGAAACATTAAAGAATTCCTTACAGTAGAAGGAAGGAGTTTGGTCAGAAGATTGCTTATGTATCGGCTTCCTTAGGGAAGATAAAATGTTTACTAAAAGGCTGTGTGCTGCTTCTGTCCACCAACTCTGCCCGAGTGTTGTCTTATCCTAATGTACTGATGGTGTGCTGATTGTTGTCTTAGGACTGCCACTGTCTCCTGGACATTGGTCCACATGCCATTGAACGGCTTCATAGCATCCACATCTACCCCATTGTCATCTTCATCCGCTACAAGAATGCTAAGCAGATCAAGTAAGTGACCTTCAGGGTCGAGGCTTCCGGGTCCCTGTCAGAGTGGGGAAAGGGGTTGTACTAAAGTCGTCGTTGACCTCTCTTGTTAAGAGACAGGGTTGGCACATTGGAGCGTTGGACCTGGGGTTCTGGTCTAAATTCGATCTCTAACTTGATGGGCGAGGGTGGGACTGTGGCTTAGTTAGCTGCATCACTTCTCTTTGCCTTAGTCTTTTTATCATAAAATGATGGAATTAGATGTAGATGATATCTGATGTTGTCTTCATTGCCCTCATGATTCCAGCAGAGGCACTGGAGTCATCATGCACCATGCACATATTTTAAACTTTTTCCATTGCAAATATGCTTTCTGGTGTGTTCTCCCCCTACTCCATTTCCAGCAGCAGGGTCAGGTTACTCCTTTACAAGAATGTACACCAGGGGGCCCCCTTCACCGTGGTTACCTTTTCCCTTGGATGCTTCCCATGGTCCTGGACAAAAAAGGCTAACAGTGGCAATGGGGAAAAGTGAGGCCTCTTAGCCTAATTCTGCTGTGGGTGTTCCAACAGAGAACAGAGAGACCCTATCTTCCTGAGGGACAAAGTCACACAGAGATATTCCAAAGAACAATTTGAGACAGCTCAGAAGATAGAACAGGAATACAGCAAATATTTCACAGGTAAGCTGACGTCACCTGTTTCTTTTCCAAAAGTAGGAATGAGATGGGGTGAGGAGGTGGGGGGAGTGGGATGGAAGCAACAGTTTTGGAAAATGTGAGGTTTACTGGCCTTGCTTTTTTGTCTAATATCAGGCTTAATGTTTCATTGTTGGGGAGTGAGGTGTTGGGAGAATCCCACCAGATCACACTCCTTTCTTTCTTTTTTAATAACAGTTTTGTTTTTTTTAATGAAGAAGCACATATTTTTTCCCCTTCTCACCCCCCCCCCCCCAAAAAACAACAACAAATAGGGAAATCAGAGCCCTTGGAACAAATGTGCATACTCAAGCAAAACAAATTGCCACAGGCTCATTCTGCATATTCCTTTCAACTTAAATTAAACTTAATAAAATTAAAATTTTATTAAATAAGAGCCTAGGCTACAAATGCAAAAGCAAAACAATCCCTGCCCTCAAGGAGGTTGCATTCTACTGTGGGCACTCATGTTTGTATATTTAAATTGTGAACTCTTAAGTCCCACATTTCTTTTTTTTTTCTTTTTGTGAGGCAATTGGGGGTTAAGTGACTTGCCCAAGGTCACACAGCTAGTAAGTGTCAGGTGTCTGGTCTGAGACCAGATTTGAACTCAGGTCCTTCTGACTCCAGGCTGGTGCTCTTTCCACTGCGCCACCTAGCTGCCCCCTGAGTCCCACATTTCTAACATGTCTTTGTGCCCACTAAATATGGGGAAAATTCCCTATGTGATGATGGCTGTATTCTGTGCTCAATAATAGAATGCATGCTTTCATAACTAGCTATAATATCTATGATAACATAAGGGATCCTTTCAGCATCAGAGGGCAGAAAAGTTAGTTGTTGTCCTATTTTGGTGTTTGAGGAAGGTCTAAGCTAGGTGTTTTTCATTTACCTTGTTTAAAAGCCCAAAGCCCCATTTTTCCTACTGCTGATTTACTCTCTGGCTTCCAAATCATTTTGAAAATTTGAAGCAGATGTTCCAGGAAAGGACAAGAATTGTAGTCTGGGAGTTGGGGGTCGGTTTTAATCAGCTTGCAAAGAGTTCTAGTGGTGGTGTCTGCCAGGAGGGAGGAATGTCTGATAAACTTTAGTTTTATTTTCCTGTCTTTAGCATCTCACTTCCCACAAACTATTTGCTCCATTATAACTCTCAGTAATAGAGATTGTATGATACTGAGCCATCACAGATGTGTAATGTTGGACACACTTACCGATGAGATCACTGTATTATTAGTTCTACTTAACTGTTTTGTAACAGGAAAGCGCTCACAAAATGGCCATAATCTCTAAATGTTCGACAGAGAAAAACAAAACACATCAGTAATTTTTTTTCTAAGAAAAAAAACATACTTAGCCACTTGGATTTACATTTCTTTTCACTTTCCCCAGGTTTCTAGTAACTGACAATCACAACACACACTCTAGAGCTGTTGTCTGAAATGTCAAGATTCCACTGATTGCAGGGTTGGGCAAATTCAGCTTTACTTAGGTGGTGTTTCCCTTAGGAGTAGCTTAGTTAAAGCTTAAAAAGTTAAAGTTTAAGTTAAAAAAAAATTCCTGATTTTTCCTGGTTTTGGGGCAATGGAATGACTGTCTTTTTGAAAGCCTGTCGGAAACCTGAAACCCCATGTTTACCAATCATTTCAGCATCCTATCATATCAAACCATTTAAAATAAGGACCAAAATATGTTTTATAATAGAGTTATGTTTTTGTATATTCATTTCAGTATCCTATCATATGAAACCATTTAAAATAAGGAACAAAATATATTTTATAATAGTTATGTTTTATTATCATTTCAGCATCCTATCATATGAAATTATTATTATATATTATATGAAAATGTTACATATTTTATCATATAAAATAGTTATATTTTATTATTTCAGCATCCTATCATATGAAATTACTTTAAATAAGGAGCAAAATGTATTTTACAGTAGTTATATTTTATTTATTTTTATTTTAATAAGTTAAAAATTAAATAAATATTTAATATAAATGTTCATAATATTTTATAATAGTGTTTGAGCTATTTTTCCATCTCAGCTCCACTTTCCTGATAGTATTAGGGATCAGAAAAGACTGAAAGTGGGCAGCAGACAGGCAGAGAATGACGGAAAAACCAGCAGCCTGCTAAGCAGAGCTTTTTATCTAGGTGTGGGCGATCAGTGCTTTGTACCAGGGCATGGAAGTTTAGAGGGTGCTGACTGCACTTATATAGCAGATAGAAACCAAGAACTGAGCTTTTAGTGCCTCATTAGCAAGAAACAATTAGTTAAAATAGACAATTACTACTTAGCCTTCTTCCTGCCTGCCATATCAGTACAACTCAGGGGACAGCCTCAACCTGGCCCAACCTGCTTCTTTCTCTGTAGCAACTTTGAAGTATTTCATGGTTTAAGATTCTCTTTGCTGACCTCCAGGAGGAGATTACCCAGAGCCCAGACTCTACTCCAGCCCTCAATCCCTGCTTTTCTTGGATGAGAACAGGGAGTTTACCGGTCACAATCCTCCCAATATGATGGAGGGCCAGGAGGTTTTGCTGCTGTCTTGTCACTGAAACCGAAAGACTATGGAATCTTTCCATTTTCTTTGAAGCTGAACCCTTCTGTGTGCTTTTCTCCCCCAGTTAGAATGTGATCTCCTTGAGAATGGGGATTATTTGGCATTTTTCTTTGTAACTCCGGTGCTCAAGGATTGGCACACAACAAGCATTTAAGTACTTTTCATTCCTTCCTTTCCTCTTTGGGACCTTTTTTCTCCAGAAGTCCAAGGTCTTACCCCAACTTAGCACAGCTTCAAAAGTTGTCTTGGTTCTGCTTCAGAGGTTTCCCCTCCACCCCCCGGGCAGCTGATCTTGCAGTAAGGGAGAATTGACCTTTCCTCTGTTTCTTCTTTGTGTTCTACAGGTATCATCCAGGGCGGAGCCCTTGGTAACATTTGCACTCAGATCTTGACGACTGTCGATGAAGAGCAAAATAAAGTCCTGTGGATTCCAGCTTGCCCACTGTAGACGGACATTTTGCTGTGAAATGCAGAACATATTCTTCCAATGTAAATAGACAGCCAGACTTTAAATATTATATATATATGCAAACAGTTCTTCATGAAGGGGATTGAGACACTAACACGGATAACCAAAAGCACCTGCTTAAGTGGCTGAATAAGACCGAACAAAGCCTTGGCCATCGGAATTCATTTCTCTCTCACTTGAGCATTTATTTTCCTAGAGAGAGAGAGAGAGAGAGAGAGACTGACTGACTGACTTCTAATATGATGGGGGTACAAGGTAGACCACCTTTTTTTTTTTTCTTTAGCCAGCAGATTATCAGTGCTGCAGAAAGAACCTTCTAGATTCACAAGTTTACAAACCTTTTCTAAGTATTTGGTTGTTTATGTTTACTTGAATGTCCTCGTGTCGTCGTGGCCTGTTGCCTTCTTGGTCCCTTTCTCCTGCCGTCCTCATCTCTTACTCTCGTGTTTTTCTTGTTCAGTGTGTCTTTTTTTGTGCCTGTTCTCGGTGCAGCCACACTTTGGAATCGAAGGGAGAGGGCACTGTGAGGTGGCTGGGGGGGCGGGGTGGGAAGAGGGGAGCGGACTGCGTGTTTGTACTGGAGTCAGTGAGGGTAGGTCCAGGGAAGGGGGGACTTGGTGGGCTTTGGAAACCTTTGGAAATTCTCCTGGGAGCTCTGGAATCATCTCTTAGATAAATTTGCAGGGTGATCCTTTTGCTCAGTTTTGGGTGGCAGAATCAAAGGCGTCTCCTGTGCTTTGGAGTTACTTTAAATTCCTCTGGTTGAAATTGCTTCTCTCCTCCCTCCTCTCCACCACTCTACCTGCATAGATTTTATATTTAAAGACCATAATATGATCTGATCATTCTGAACTCGATTTGTTAAGTAATAAAATAATCAATTTGGTTTGGGGGACTGGTAGTGTTGGGAGGAGGGGGAAAGCAAGGCAGTAAACTCGGTCCAATGCATGCTGTTCTGTCATTTTTAAAAGTCTGTAAATATCAATAGCTTTTACTGGTGCAATTTTGCAGGATAATTCTTCTGCTTTGTTCCTTAGCGTCTGTAGCAGTCACATAATCTTGTTTTGTTTTGTTTAAATTTGATATGAAAATGGTCACAGTTTTGGGCTTTGGATCAAAAGCCTTTGGTAGTGTTCACACTGTCTGGAATCAGTCAATAAAAACCAAGGGGTTTTTTCTATTGCTTGCAACACTCAGTCACACTGTGTACCCAGCTCTGTGATAAAGCAGCACATTGGATTTGCTTGTGCGCTTTGAAAGCTTGGGTGGGCCCTGGAAGAAGATTGCCTCTCCCTTTCTCCATCAACTATTTGTTCTCTTTGTAGGTACTGTACTCTCTTTGGTTTATCCCAGTTTAATTTGAGGAGGCTTTATGAACTGTTCCTAACATTTCATTTTTCTAGCAAGAGGTCTTAAAAAAATTTTTTTTTAGTTTTAGACTACAGGCTGTAGTTTTGTGTTTTATTTGCATTTTTAAAAAAATAAATAAAAAAGGGATTTTTTTTTTCCTTGCACACTTCCTCAAAAGAAAGAACTATATCAGTCCTGAATTTTGTTCCTTGTTTTACAGGTACACATTTTCTAGCTCAAATTCCTTAAAAAAATAAAAGTATAAAAATATTTAAAAAAATAAAAATAAAAAAACAAACCACAACTGTAGATTATGTATTGATGCATTACCTAAACAAAATAGCTTTCATATTGAGGGGTAGCAGGGTTTTTGTTTGTTTTTTTGGTGTTTGTTTTTTCTTCCCCTGAGTTGAGGATAGAGTTGGACTTTGGTACGATTAAAACAGACAGGTACTGTTCTGACCAGGATTTTCTGTACTAAAAAAATGTCACTTTGTATAAAAAAACCAAAAAAGTTAAAGAAACTGATTAGTATGATAAATAAAGGTCAATTTCTGTACTTGTGTTGCAGTATTCTTGATGAGCTTTTCCCCTTTCCTTTCCCCACCTGCTTCCTTGCCTTCTGAGTTACATTGTTGCCTTCTCTAAAATGGGGGATTGGTCCAATGGAAAGACCACACTGGCTCTGCACTGTGTCACTGCGGTCATTTTTTTCCTCCCTGACTGATTCCTTATATCACTTTCACATGATATATATCACATGATTCAAATTTTTTCTTCTCTCTTTCAATCCTCCCACACCTCCCCTTTGCTCTCCTTTTAGCCAAGGACCTCACTTCTTGAAAATTGAGGCCATTCAATGTGAGGTCCTGCTGTTCTCTTCATCTCTCTCTTTTTTTTTTTTTTAAGGCAATTGGGGTTAAGTGACTTGCCCAGGGTCACACAGCTAGCTAGTAAGTGTCAAGTGTTTGGTCTGAGGCCGAATTTGAACTCAGGTCCTCCTGACTTCAGGACCGGTGCTCTATCCACTGCGCCTCCTAGATGCCCTCTTTTCTTCATCTCAAAACCCCTTGACACTATTCCTCTCTCCTGGTAGCCTTTCTCCTTGCTAAGGTCAACTTAGCAACATCTGCATGTGTGCTTGGTCTCATCTCCTGCTGTTGTCTTTAGCAGATTGCAACCTCAATCATCCCTTCTCTCTCAAATCAACTTTCCTTTATCTGTTGGTTCCTTTCCTACTGCCTTCACATACATAAGTGTCCCTCATCTTTGGGAAAAAAAAAAAAAAAACAAGCCTTCTTTAGACCCAACCATCTCCTCAAGCTGCTGTCTTTTATCTCTCTTCCGTCTCTCAGCCACACTTCTGGGAAAAAGCTATCTTCACATATGAGTTCCTTGAGAAAAGGGACTTTTCCCCCCCTTTCTTTTTGACTCCGGTACTTAGCCCAGTGCCTGGCACATAGTTGGCTTTTAACAAATGCTTGTTGTGGGGCAGCTAGGTGGTGCAGCGGATAGAGCATTAGCCCTGAAGTCAGGAGAACATGAGTTCAAATGCAGCCTCAGATATATAACAGTCACTAGCTGTGTGACCCTGGGCAAGTCACTTAACCATAATTGCCTTGCCCCCCCCCCCCCCAAAAAAAAAAGCTTGTTGACTGATGACAGACTAGCTTTAGGCTCACTTAACTGAAACTGCTCTCTCCAAAGTTATCAGTGACCTCTTACTTGGCAAATCTGGCAGCATCTTCTCGGTCGTCACCCTTCTCAATTTCTCTGCTGCATTTGACACCGTGGACCACCCTCTTATGTACATTCTTTCCTCTTGGAGGGTTTTGTGTCACTGGTCTCTCCTGGTTCTCCTCCTGACTATTCTGATTGCTCCTTCTCAGTCTCCTTTGCTAACTCGTCATCCATGTCAACACCCTTACCACAGCGGGTGTAACCCAAGGGTACACCAATATTCTATGTATTCTATACCCCAAGGCTCTGACCTGGGCTTTCTTCATTCTTTCTTTCTCTCTTCAGTTTCCATGGATTTAACTATCATTTTTTTTTTTTTTTTTGCGGACAACACACACACACGCAGGCATATACATAGCTTCAGTCTCTCGAACTTCAGCCCTTCATCACCAGTTGCCTACTAGACATTTAAACTAGATGTCTTAAAGACATCTCAAACACAATAAGTGCAAAACTAAATTCATTATCTCCCCCACCCCCAAATAGCTCTTTTTGTCCCCCCTCAGAAACCTTCCTCTTCCAATTTTCCTTATTTTGTCAAGGGTATCACCATTCTTTGAGTCTCCCAGGTTCATAACCTTGGTATTATCTTTGATTCTTCCCTGTGCCTCCCCCCGCCCAACATTTAATTAGTTGCCGTTTTCACCTTCATCTCTAACATCTGACCTCTTTAATTGAACTGCTGCCACCTTAGTTCAGTTCCTCATCATCTTTCACCTAGATGTTTGTGGCAGCCTCCGTCTCTCACCACACCAGTCCATCCCACGCACTGCTGCCAAGGTAATTTTTGTTGAACTCAGATCTGGCCGTGTCACTCCTCAGCTCAGTCAGCTCCAGTGGCTTGCTGTTTCTTATAGGATCAAATGTAAACTCCTCTGTGTAGCCATGAAAGCCCCATGCAGTCTGATCCTCATTGATCTTTCCAGCCTCTTTGTCCATTTTTCCCTCTTCTGTATTTTTATTTCAACCGAACTGGATTTCTTTTTTTGTTTTATCTTATTTTGTTTTTCAAGTAAAAAAGTTTTTATTTTATTTTATTTTTTTATTTAAAAAATTTTTTTTTAAAGTTTTTAAAAAAATCGATCTTTTCCTCCCACAAAACCAGGTCATCATCCTTGACCTCTCTGCAGTCTTTGACACTGTTGATCACCCTCTTCTCCTTAATACCCTCTTTTCTCTAGGTTTTGGTGACACCTCTCTCTCCTGATTCTTTTTCTGTAAGTCTGACTGTTCCTTCTCAGTGTCTTTGATCTGCATTCAGGTCACATTCACTACCTGTGGTGTCACCCAAGGCTCTGTCCTAAACCCTCTTCTTTCTATACTGTTTCACTTGGTGATCCCATGCTCCTTTGGATTCAGTTATCTTCTCTGCTACTGATTCCCAATCTCCTTACTCATCATTAGCTTTTCTGCTGACCTCCAATCTCACATCTCCAACTACACATGGGATATCTCAACCTGGATGTCCAAGGGCGAGCACGGTTTGGTGACTTTTTGAGCATAGTTCCAGGTTGCTTTTCAGAATGGTTGGACCAGGACCAATTCTCAGCTCTACCAGCAGTGCACTTGTGGGGCCTGTTTTCCTGAAATTTCCCCTGCATTTGTCATCTTTGCTGGTCTGATAGGTATGAGGTGGAACTTTACAGTTGCTTTAACTTGTATTTCTCTAATTGTTTGGGATTTAGAGCATTTTTCTTATGATTGTTGGTAGGTTGAATTTCTTTTAAAACTGCCTGTTCAACTAGATTTCAATCTCTTCCTCACAACACACATGGCACCACCTCTCACCCCTGTGCGTTTGTACGGGATGCCCCCTATGCCTAGAATACTCTCCTCCCCCTTGCATGTGGAATCTCTCTTCCTACAAGTCCCACCTTCTGTAGGAAGTCTTTCCTGATCCTCCCAAGTTCGAGTGTTCTCATGAGACTTTCTTGTTTTAACTACTTCTATTTATTCCTCTTTATATTCTGTACATACTCACGTAGGTCTATGTTGTCTTCCCATTAGGAATGTAAGCTTTTTTTTTTTTTTTTTTTCTATTTTGATCCCCAACCCAGCACGGTGCCTGACACTTAGTAGTCTCTGAATAAACGTTGATTGATTGATCAGTGATCTCAAAGGTCCCTCCCATCTCAAAGCACAAAGAACGAAACAGTCCCTACACAAAGAACGTGTACAGTCTGATGGGGGAGAGAACAAGTATACATATAAAATACATAGGCTAAATATAATATGAATAAGTACACATATGTACTAAGCCAGTTAAATACCAGGTCATTTGGGAGGATGGCACTAACATTTGGGAGTGTCAAGAATGACTTCATGCAGAAGATGGTGCTTTGGGCTGTTGAGAAGCGGCACCATTTACCCGAAGGCACACAGGTAAGTCAGTTCTGTGGCCTGAACTCCAGTTGAGGGTTCTTTCCAATATTCTATGCTCTTACTAAAGTCTCAGAGGCATCACTGGCTCTGTTCTCTCCCTTGCCTTGACATTGAATCAGTGACCAAGCCCTGCTCTTCTTCTTGTCCCTTTTATAACTGAACCTTCCACTTGGTTCAGTCCCTTATCAGACCATCCCCGGACCTCATTTTGTAGGAGCTTTCTAACAATGTGGTAATAGGGAAAAGTGCTGGACCTATAGTCAAAAGATCTGGGTCTGAATCTTAACTTTGCCATTTATTATCTGAATGACCTTGGGTAAGTCTTGGACCCTCTTTGGGTCTCAGTTTCCTCATTTCTAAAATAAAGGGGTTGAGCTAGATGTCCTCCAAATCCTAATTAGCCTTCTGCATTCAACTAGATGTATCTTCCTCAAATTCAGCTTTAATGACAACACTCCCCTGTTTAGAAACTTTGCATAGGATTGTAGACTCTTAAGAGCTCCAAAGGGAACTTGAGCTCAATTTCATAAATATGAAGTGCTTAAGAGCACAAGTCACTAGGCTTGGCGCTAGGTGGTTCAAAGATGCTATGAGGCATGGGACCTACCCTCAAGGAGCTTACAATCTAATTGTGAACACAAAACATGCATATGAGCAATTATAATGCAAATTAAAATATAGAAGAGGCATAAACACCTGAGGGATTACTTCTGGCTGGGGGTATCAGGGAAGGCTTCACCGAGGAACCTTGAAGACATTCATCATTTAATCCGATACAGTTGTTGCAGATGGTGAAACAGGTCCTGGGAAAGAGAAGCAAAATCTAAACAGGCATTTGAGGCTTTCCTCAGTCTGGCCCTAAATCTACCTCCTATTATTATTTCCCAACATAAATCTTTTGTTCTCCAGGTAGACTGGGTTTTTTACCATTCTTCAGATGTGTACTGTGTATTTCTTCCCAGAGTTCCCTTCCCTTCCTGCTCTGCCTACCTCAGCCTTCTTAGGTAAACCTCGGGGATTATTCCCTTCTTTGAACATTACATTGTTTTAGCTTCCATACAGACTTTCATTGTTGTTTCCACACATCTCTGTTTCATCACCTCAATTCAGTTAAATAGGCCTTCATTCAGTGAGTGTCTCCTGTGTGTCAGGTGCTGTATTAGGCATTTGAGATACAAATAAAAAGCTATCCCTGCCCTCCAGGAACTTACTTATGTTCTCAGGAAAACTGATTATATTGGAACAGTTACAAAAACATGAAAAACAAATTCATGGACCCTGGATTAAGAACCCTTTGACCAGCTGCTTCCTAAGAGTCCCTTCTGGCAGCCACATTCGAGGATTATCCAATTTGACCAGTCCGGTATTCTTATCTCAGTGGAGACCAGAGGTCAACGGTAAGTCTTGGTTTGTTCTTAAGACAACTTCTGAGGTCCT